ATAGGTAGACTCAATTTGTATCAAGATTTTGAAAAATCCTTTTTAAAATTCTAAAGATGGATATAAAGCTCTCTTTGACTTTCTATCTTAAAATTATTTATTAGAGCTACATGCAATACTAAAGATACAATTAAAAGAAGATCAAAAACAACAAAAGATCAATGCGGATGCCATTTGCAATTAACAACCACAATTCAATGTGAGTGATAAGGTATAGCTACTTTGTCGCAATATCAAGAGTATTTGTCTTTATAAAAAGTTGGACTATCATATGCTTGGATCTATTCCTACTTGTAAACAAATCAATCTTGTCGCTTATTGTTTATATTTATTCGAGTCTATGAAGATCTATCTTATATTTTACATGTCTCTTTTTGATCCATATAAGACAATGAATATTTTTGGAAGAAGACAAATACCACCTTCTCCTATAAAAGTGGATAATAATCAAGTGTTTGAAGTCAAAGAAGACTTAGATTCAAGACAATGCTAAAATGGATCAGAATATCTTCTTCATTGGCGAAAAAATGATATTAGTGAATACACATAAGGGCCAACAAAGAATCTTGCAAATGCAGCAAAGAGAATTAAAGCTTTTTATTGGTCACATCTATCAAAATTAAGATGAAGAATAGTAAATCTTTACTAAAAAAAATCCAAGATCAAAGAAAGATAGTATTCTATCTTTTATTCTTATTTGTAACTTCTATGTATTTGTAATATTAAAGAGATGGAAAATTAATAATTAGTAGATTCTACTTAAGAACTAGCACTTACTAACATATTAGATGAGACATTGCAATTGATATAACCTTCAAGATGATGTAATTGAGATGAAGTTCCTTAAGAATGCCATGTCCTTCTTCAAATAGATAGTGAGATATAATATATTTGGTATTATGATCTTGGAAGAGACTTTCAATATTTGATGATTTTATTAGAGGTAGAAACAACTTTTGATGGTATTTCAAATATTTTATTTGAAGAGAGTTACAAAGTCTTCAACAACAATCAAATAATAGGATGGTCTATCTATCCTAATATGGAATACTATCAATAGCTAAGACAACCTATCAACTATCTTTGAAGAAAATAAAGATCAAAGTATGTAACAAACACAATTTATTGCATCTTGAATTTCTTCAATATATAATAATTGCTTCCTATAGAACTCGTTTTTAGAAAGAAATTAAAATAGCCATTCTAATTTCATATTATATCATCTTTGAATGATTTTCTATTCCTTTTGAGTGACATAAGAGTGTATTGAGAATTTCTTTCTTTAAAATTCATGTCCTTGATAATAGGAATTAGAGGCTATGAAAGCCCATTGTGACTTTTTTGGAATTTGAAAATGGTTGAGTTCAATCACAATAATTTATTCTTATTATTTAATTTAACTTGATATTTTTTTCATATGCATGGAATAGATGAGTGGATATTCCATGAATCACTTGTACTAGAAACAATTTGATTTAAATGTCTTTGGAACTTGGATCAAATATGGATAAAAATATATAGATGAAAGTTGGTTATTAATAGATGAATTTTTATTTTTAGATAAAAATTCAATTATGGATGAAAATTTATTCATAGATGATAAAAAAATTAGATGAATTTTTATTTTTTGGATGATAATTAATATTAGATTAAAATTAAAGTTAAAATTAAATATATATTTAATAAAATCACATAAAAAAAATCTTTCAAGATTGAAATTATTAATAGTTAATTGAAGTAGCTTGCATTATTGTAATGGGTTGTGTGAGTGTGAATTGAATTAGTCAAAGGATCTAAATTCTAAATTAGAAGTAAAAGAAATTTTATTAAATAATTTCATAAATTAATAATTAGTTGTGAACTAGAATAAATCATTTAATAAAAGAATTTATTTAATTCATAATTAAAAAGTTAGTGGAATTATTAAATATAAATAAAATATTAATCAAAAAATATTAGATTAATTAGATTATTAAATCTTTATGAATTAAAATATATTTTTAATTAATAAAAGTTTATTTTAATTTACAACATTCTAATATCTCAAGTTCATCAAAATTCTTCTCTTTCTATCCAAACTATTCATTGTTTTAATATATTTTTATTTCTTGGCCCATAAAAACTTCAAAAATATATTTTATTAGATTCAAGAGCATCTCTTTGTTTTTTATATGAAGAGTTTTTTTAACTTTATTAAATTCTCATAGTACAAAAGTTAAAACATATATATATAAAAGTAATAGATAATCGACCTTTATCTCCAAGAAATATTACTTTTGAAACCATACTACTAGAAATATCATTTGAGTGCTATAGTAACAAAATAGTATCCAATATTATTAGAATTTCATCCAATCTTAATTTAAAAAGTTAGAAATTCTTTTCTAAATTCATCTAAAGATGCTTTATAAGAATCTTGAGCTCCTTGTAAATGGAGTTTTAAAGTTATTTAGAGCTATGACAATTGTTTTGCAAGATCTTCAATTCCTAGGTTTTCATCCTTCAATGTACCTAATAAATCAAGCTTTGGATGATAATCATAATTCGCATATAATGGTGCTTGCTGAGTCAAAGCATAAAAAATATTATTAAAAAAAAATCCACTAAAGATAAATATGAACTTCAATCATCTTATTGATAGTTGACATTATATTGCAAATACTGCTCGAAAACTTAATTGACTCATTTTGTTTGACTATTGGTTTGAGGATGGAAGACAAAAGAAAGTTTGATATTCATCTTCAATATTTGAAAAAGAAATTTCTAAAACTTTGATATAAATTCAAGTCCTTGATCAAAAAAGATATCATCAAATAGGCCATAATATCAATATGTATTGTCAAAAAAAAACCTTTTCATTTATTTTCTAATTATTATCTTTTTATACAAAAAAAAATATGTCATTTTTATAAGTCAATCTATAATAATATAGATAGTATCAAATATACCTGATAGTAATAGATCAATGATGAAGTTCATTGATACTAAAGACCATGGTCACTTTGAAATTAGAAATGGCTATAAAAGTCTATAAGAACAATGTCAAGAATTTTTAGATTGTGAAAAAATGTCATACAAGAGGACAAAAAAAATTCACAATCTTCTACATTTGAGGCTACTAGAAATCTTAAGAAATAAGTTCTAATGTTTTGTTAAATCCAAAATATCTTGAAATTAGGAAAGCATGACAAGATTGAAGAACAAGAAATTATGTTGATCATTTTAGAATATATAAATGATCTTCAAAATACTAAAAATCTCCCATGAATTTGAACTTATTATTATTAAGGCACTACTTGATATTGCAAATTAATGAGTCCTTAATTGATGTTGTACAAATTTTTTCAAGTAAACTTAAATCAACATGTATAATTTCAGAAGTAGCACAAAGATAAAATTGATTCTAAAAATATTCTTAAAATATTTTATCAATTTTTAGAAGGTTCTAAAAGATTTTTAAAATATTCTAACAAATTCTAGAAAATTCAATGAAGATTAAAGAAGTTGTCTAAGAAGCTTATTAGAATTGTTTTGTTTTCAAGTAATATAAGAACTTCTCAAGAAACTTCTTAATATCTAGAATATATTGGAGTAAAGGTTGAGAGGATCCTTAGTCTTAACAATACATTTCTTAGAGTTTTAGCTCACCGTTCTTAATGTTGATCTTGTACTCATTTGATTTAATCAAGTTCTTACTAGCTTTCTTGTTGAAACTCTTCTCTTCAACTTCTTGCTTGATCTTTTGTATAATATATCTATGATACATGGTTGCTTTCACGAATACCATCAACTTATGAAGGTACTAAGAGTTCCTTAGATATAAGAAGACACTTGAAGCGAAATAAATAATCATGGTGACTCTTAAAGTAGGGACATAGGTCTTTTTCTATTTTCTTCTTTTTAGAAATATTGCATCTTTGTCCAATGTATATTATACTAATTCAAACTTGTTAGTAGGCCATGGCTACTCATAAAGAGTGTTATATCATAAATATTGTGAATAGAGAGAAATTATGCTTTATTTAATGGATTACATTAGTCATAAAAAAAGATGTATCACATGATATGGCTTAATTTCATCAACTATGGATAGAACATATGGCTTAATACTTCAACCAAAATATAACACATGCCTCTAAAGGCAAGAGGGTACGTCAAGCAATTTCAACAACAATGATATACAAATAAGATAATGGCAACATGGCTAATAAATAAGCCAATACAATAATTAGTCATACTTAGAAATAGTTTTTTTAATTAACATCTAGAATGTAATATACCTTTGTCGGACCTAACTAGGGCTTATGTAAATTAACTCTTTGATTGCAATAGAGAACAATTTCTATTTGTGTTAAAAAAATAAATAAATTCAAAAATAAAGAATAAGAAGAGACATGAACTTGTTTTAAAACTTGAATTCCCAACTAATAATATTAACAATTCAACTATCAAGCTTAATTTTCCAACATAAAGTACATTCCAAAAACTAGAACTAGAATCAATTGAATCAAATACAATGACGATGACCAAAGACTAATCATCTTAACTTAAATCCACTACCTAAAGACCTCAAGCATAAATATATCACTGGCTAACGACCACTTACCACAATACGTCTCATTTATACAATCAGTTAATCATCTGAGAATGAAACCCCCAATTAAGTGTAACCAGCGTTTAAATATAGTGTAGCAAACCAAAATAACCTCAACAAAATGCGAATATATGCACAGTTACTGAAAACTGTGAATTTAGGATAACACACCCTCTGATAATTTGAAATTTAAAACAATCCCATCACCGAATCTTAAAGTGAAGTCTGACGAGGAGGAGGGTGAAATTTTGCTACCGAGAATCTGGATATCCGCCGACACCCGAGATGCCGGTGGATGGTGACCATGGCGGCGCGGGCGGACATCAATCCGCCCGGCCCGGCCCCGTCCGTCCTCCCACCACCCGTGAATATATACATGGTTGCCACCTCGCCTCCAGGAATTCGAAGCGCTCGTTCCCGCGTCGTCGTCTCCCACTACGTGGTTTTTTTCTACCCCTATGTGTGTTTTTCTTGTGCAAGGTTTGAGCTCTGGACACAAGTGCAACTGATCGATCCATCCATAGCCACATTTCCTGCTATCTCCCCCGCAGGTATGCACCTCCCTCCCTGCTTTCTCATTCCTGGCTGCGCTGGTGACGATTCCGCGATTCGCCTCCGTTTGGATCCTCGTCTGCAGTTTGGTTGTTTCTGGTGGAATGAGCGTGTCGGGAATGTGATTCTATCTTCGCGTCGGCTTCTGTTCCACAGCCCGTCTCCGTGCCAACCTGGACATTTCTATGCTCGGTTTGGATGGCGTGGCCCGCGTGAAGTCCTGACCTTTTTCTGCGCGATGATGGAATTGCTGCAGTATTGTGACAGCAGTCGATTCTCCAGCTTCGTATAAATAAATATTGCCATCGTTTAACCGCACGTGTGTCGTGACGGCGATCGTGAGGTCTAGGAGGGAACATGGTGTCGCCTGTAGAGTCCTCGGAAGTCGTCAGCCCTTTACTGTCCACGTTTGGATTTTATTTGTTTTCCTCTTTTCTACGGTTGTTCCCTTCCAGTGCAGGATTTGCCTGACTAGTATTTGTTCATGACTCCTTTTCATCCATAACGAATCGCCGCACGAGTATGCAAATGCTGATTCGGGTTGAACTCAGTGGCATTCGACTGCGCAAGAACTCGCGACCGCTCACCATCTCAGACGCCAGGTTCGGCCGCGTGACGAATCCTTCGTGATGAAGATGTGGCAGCATTTGCGACTAGCCTGGAGGTTGCGCTTACCAGTTTCAGTCTTGGAACTTGTAGGAGCTTGCGCACAGGGACGTGAGCAATACCTGTAGTCCTACGGGCACGACATGGTCGGAGGCAGATAAATGAGTCCCCAAGACCTCTGGCCTTCTCACCATGGAAATGCAGGTGGTCGTTGTTGAGGTGCTGTTCGGTCCAGTCCCCTGGGCATTCGGGTGGACAACTCTGACTTTGTCCTTGGTGATCCTGGTCGCAGCTGTAATCTGACAGACGCTCGAAGCTTTCGGCATGGGTCTTGAGGGAGCTCTCTCGCTCAGCACGTCAGCAGGTCGTCCCGAGGTCGCAACAGGTCGTCCCGACCACATTTGCATATGGACGCCTGAAGGCGTTAGAAGGCTGCTTGGCAAGAACCGCGTGCGGATGAGTCGCGGCTGGAAGGTGCGAGATATGGTGAGAGCTGTGCGATGCGAGAGTTGTTCCCCTGAACAAGGCGATGACGAACCGATTTCAGTGCTCCGTCCCGATCAAGGCACAACAACAAGCTTTCTCAGTAACAGCCTTACGCGTGGTGTGAATGGCATCTCACGCACTGCCGCCAACGCACCTGTGCAAGAGGATCGGGAGAACGGTCCGGGCGCGGCCTTATCTACCGATATTTTGCGGTATCGCAGCGTCCGATCTGGCGCTTCGATCGCTTTGCGAGCGCTTGATGTGTATCTGCTTCTGGCGTCGAGTATCTGCGACGAAGTGGACAATGCGTTTAGGACGCCATGCTCCAGGAAGCCATTGCGTTTGTCCACAACGTCGTGGGAGCTGTTGGAGTGAGCGAGCGAGCGAGCGAGTGGCGAGCCGGTTGAGGATGAGATTGTCAGTCGAGGGCTTTGCTAGGAGAGGGGACCGACGGGAGCTTGATCAGCTGATTGATTTTGTGATAATTTGCGAGCGCTAAATCGCTCGTGAGAATGCATTCGGACGAAGTAGATATGTATCTCGGAGGCGATGGCATGTTGTGCAGAATGCACTTCACGCCTGGCAAGGGCGATTTTCCTGTTCGCAATATCGCTCCAGTTTGCCGAAGTTAGTGGCGAATTCGAATGTTGTGAAAACAAATGACTTTTGTTAACGTGGAATGGATTTCCAAGCTGACATTTAGTCGTCTACACAAAGCTATGAAAGCGTGGAGCATGTGTATGGGTAGTCTGCGCAGCTTGTTTGGTGATGGTTGAACTCATTCTTTTGGCCTAGTTTAAGTCCAATGCACGGTTTTGCAACATTGGTCTTCGCTAGAGAAGTTAAAACACTCTTCGATTCTTTTGCACATTTTTTCGATTTACTGTCGTTTCCAGGGTGGAGTTTTTCGAATGGTTAACCGCCATCCTGAAGAGCTTGATTACATTTCTCCATTTGGTGAATTCAAGTAGCTGTGAACCTCATTACACAGAGACGCCAATTTTATTGCGGTATTCCCTCGTTGGAAGTGTCGGCCGTTGATGATTTGGTGTTCTTGAATTGCACGACCATTGTTGATTTCATCATTTTTTTTCATTTTCCATCATAGCGAAGTTGTTCTGAAGGTAGGTCTTCATTTGATCTTTTTTGAATAGTTTCACTTTCTTTTGCGATCATCAAGACTTTTATATCTTCGTCTATCATAGAGGTATGGATAATTATCGTTTATCTTTAGCATTCTTTTAGTCGTATCTACTGATTTGAAATCTAGAGAGAACGGAGAGTAATGCTTGAGATTGGATTTACTTCTAAATCAATTGTTTTCTTCGGATCATACACATTCAATGTGCGGGGCTTTCCGAGAAGGCCTACCCTTCCTATTCATCAGTAGTTCAAGATAGAGGCCCGTCGCAACGTTGGCAATTCGTCGGGGAATGTAGTGAGCACATGCTCAACAATGAGCAACGTCACAGGAAGACCTCAACAAGTCCATGTATTGCCCAAGTGCCCGAGATTCGGCAACATGAGCCAAGTGTGTCGCGCGGGACTCATAAATTTGTTTCGAGTTGAAGTAACCAAGGCCAAACGCTGGCCTGTCAATTGCAACGAACCTCTTACACGTCCTCCTCAACGGAGATTCACGAACACCTACTTGGAACTAATTCTTTTCATAAAAGAGGAAGGACCTACTTACATAAAGAAACTAAATCAAACTATCTGGTGCTGATAAAAAGGTTCACCTCGAAACTGCTTCCAAAATAGTTCGATCGAGTCTTATACCTTGTCGAATTTGTCTACAGCTCTACGGGCCGAGCAAAGTAAACAATTGAAAAGGAAATGAGTACCGAAGCCATACACTAATCTCTCAACTATGCAAGAAGCGATATCATTAAGGTGAACGCGAGCATACATCAAGTCTTGTCCCCAGTAATCACTTGCTGTCTTCCGAGCACAGTCAAAATGCACCGATCTTTCAACTTTCTGTCCATAAAGTAGTCTCTACTAGGTATTTGCGGAGACTATTACAGCTTTACAACTGGTGAAGGTATCTCGTAGAGTAAAGTCTGCAATTTATCTATCCTTCTTAAGTTACACATGACCCTCCATCTACAGAACCTCCAACTCTACTATGTTGGACCACTACCTGTGCCTCCTGGAGCAGGTCGCGACATTCCCGGAGGTGCTGTGAGGGGTCTTCCAGGGGTTTGAGGATGGATGGTCTGGTTGGGCATCAAAGGTCTGCCGAGAGACTGTGAAGGAGGTGCAACTCCTTGGGGCATTGCTGATCGCCCCACTAGTTGAGGAGGTGTGACTCCTCCCACCATTCCTTGTCTCACAAATTGCCCTTGAGTTGACATTGCGCCTGCAGTCACTGGTCTTGCTAATCCCTGTAAACTTGGGGAAGGAGAAGAACCTGTGGAATTGGATCCTTGAAAGCTGGACGTGGATCCCGCGGGATACATAGGGGTGGCCTGTCCGCCAGGTCCAAACGTGTAACCAGCAGTGGAATTTTGCTGCCCTGGTACAAGAGTGGGTGGAGTAAGACTAGAGCTTGTACTAAGCCGACTGGCCACCATTCGTGCATGCTCCGTGTAAATCTTCTGTCGAGCGCGCTCCACTGATTCACATTCTTTTGCTAACATCGTCTCTAAATCAGTAAAGGTCTTCAACTTCAGTTCCAACTTCTTCAGCTGTAGCACAATTATTTTTGGATATGAGTTAGATTTGACGTTTAAGTCATGATTAAACCACATTTTGTTGAGTGCCAAGGACACCAAGTATATCTCACCAGGAACATTTAATCTTGTTGGTATTTCAGAATCCAAGACGACAATGCTTGACACCACATTTAGCACAGTTCTTGAGCCCAGTTGCATGCAACAGGGTAAATGATGATCCTAAAAGATGGCACATGCTGGTTTTCGTATAAATACTACTTTGGATCTCACAAAAAGCACAAGACTATAGATCTCGCCTAAGCCAATGTCCTTCAATTGCCTACATAAATAGTAGCCGTAACCCAACTAACTAATATTCGCTAATTCAAAGAAAAAAACAGACAAAAATACACCTGCAGTTTTGAGCATGGTACCTGGTGCTCAATAACGATGGTGACTAAACGCTGCATTTCACGTTCCTCTTGATCAGCCAAAAGTTTGGCTTTAATAGCAGCAGCAGCCATTGCATTTGCCGCAGCCCGATTCACATGGGAACTGCTTATGGCCTCCTCAGAAATATTTAACTTCACATTTAGTTCGACCTTTGGAAGAACTGGGCCACCTGAAAGAGAAGTCCCACCTTCGTCAACACGGATAATTTCAGGAACTTTTGCAACACGCGCTCACTCAACAGACTACTCCAAATATTTGGAGGCGTGCTAACTAAAGGAGCACAGCTATCAATAAACATTTCGAAATTAGCGATTTTCCACTCTCATGGTTTGATCTCACAGGAACTCATAATGAAACTCAAAATTTGTAATCTTACCAGGTTCGGCTCTGGAGACCAAGGTTCCACCAACAGAGCCAGTTTCAGCAGTGCTCAATTGAATTGCATCACTATTATTTTGCACTTCAGTATCTGCTGACACTAACCTGCAAACTTCAAGAGCACAGCTAGTTGGAACTTACTTGTGTTCAGTCTCTACTCTACTTCTTAAACCTAAGAGATAACTCTGAGCAGAGAGCAAGCCAACACATTCGAGTAAAATCATGAAATGCAATGAATCACTGACCTAAATATGAAATAAGTGAAACAAGGAAAAAGCAGTATTACAGTAATCAGTTCCGAGAGAACCTAGATTTCTCCAATATATGAGTCTTAATCAGTTATGTCCTAATGTAAGCATAGCGTTCATTAAAGTTTATTGTGATTCACAATATAATCGAATATCATAACTTTATTAAGTAAGACAGTTATCGTTAAATAAGAATAGAACCGCGAATCGACAGTAAATGAGAAAATCACTCTACACAAGGAGCAAGTTGAAAACCTGTCAGGCAGTTGCACAGAGACAGGTTGATGAACCCCAGGATCATCCAGGATAGTTGAGGTGTTGGCCGCAAGTCGGGGCCCAGGATCCTTTTGCGTCAACGTAGCTAGTGCAGCCTGTGCAGCTGCTGCAGCCACTCGTGGCCCAACCATGGCTGCAAGAAAGGCTACCTACAAGAATAATAGAAAAATAGAAAAAAATAGAAAAAAATACTTGTCAGACCAGAAACCTTATCATAGTAACTTCTACAGCTGAAAACAAGAATTGATAACTATTGATTAACCAAATGATATTTTTTGATATATAAAAGATAGTTCTTGAACACATTAAATCCATACACGAAAAGTGGTTCAGTTAAAATCGATTAATACTCATGTATTAGCCTAGTAACGAATACAATGCATCATTTTATGATGCTTCTTACACCATTGGAATTTTTGCACACAAAGACCCAACACAAACACCACAAACATCACCTGGGCCATGACCGGGTTGGGAGCATCAGCAAAAGCAACAAAGCTTGGAGGCGGTGCTTGTAGATCCCCTGAAATCTCTGAACCAGCTTCAGTACTAGGTGCATGAGCATTGGCTTTTCCCTCTCCGGTCTGTGCATCTTGTACCGTGCTATCTACTTTTAAGTTAGGAGGTGGATCTGGTACACTCAAAGACGTTCCAGGGGTTTCCATGTCCTCTAAGAAGGGATCCTCAACAGGAAGCCGTATAAACTGCAAAATGCATTGTGATTTTGACTTTGTCCCCACATGCTCAGCTATTTCATTCCAATTGTCTCCGTACATCTCTAGAGCCTCGAGAAGCAAAAGAGTTTCGTGATCCGTCCAACCGCTACCAACTCCATTCTCTTCCTCTGAAGCATCCATCTTTATGAAATCTAAAGATACCATATCGGGCCCAAATTTTCCATCGTTGTAACAATCAGAGCACACATCAAAATCTGCCTGCCAAATATCCACGAGTCAATAAAAACCAGACATTCATGATAGATTAAGAGAAGTGCCGCTGTTCTAAACTTGAAACTCGGCAGCACAGAACCTGCACAAGACTGAACACTGACTTAAATAACGACGAATATCACAGGAGATCTGCGTGAGATTATGACGAACTTGTTTCTGACAATGATAACGCTGTTTGCTACAATCAGCAGCACAAGAATTGCAGTGATACTCCACTTCCGGTCCTTCTGGGAGAGCCAGCATTTCTGCAATGGCAAAATCTGCTGATTGTGGATTTACAAGGCCTTGCTTGATACCAGGAGCTCGTATGCTATCAAACTCGTACAAACTAGAACCCTTTCGAGGCAATGCACGCAAAATGCCTGCTTCATCAGGTTCTAGAGCAAGGACAGGACCTTGCCATAGTGGCCGTAATTCAGCAGGGACCTGATAATTGATAAGACCCCAGTGATCGAGAAAATCTAGAATTCGAGATATGGTTTTTTCGTCCAAACCAACGAGCAGCTCTTGAACATCGGCAACAGTGATCATCTTTTTAAGATTCTCCCGATACTTCTTCACGATTGCATTACGGTAATCCATGTAGAGCTTTGGAGTCTTGCCAGGCGTTTTACCGTTAAAAAACTCAGGCAAACCTCTTTTCTCCAAAGTTTGTATTTCAGTCCATGAAAACCAACCTGCCAAGTAGGAGTAAACGTCAAAACTCCAAACCTATTTCTTCTTTCATATTCAACCACGTAGAATTCACAGATACAGGAAAGGTAGATAGGTCTCTCAAATACTGCTCGCATGCTTGTAAAATGCGGAAATTTTTGTGCTTCCTATAATATGAATACCTCTGCTTAATCAAGAAAACTCACTTAACATAAATACGATGATTTAAGGAGTTGGTCGTTGAGAGATTTGAGCATCTTACCCGCATGGCTAGGAATAATATGTTGCTCTGTGGTGCCACCATTCGTTCTGGAACCTGGAATACCCGATGACAACTGCAAGCCAATAGGCATTAAATGTGGTTGTTGACCAAATCCTGCTGGGTCTGCGCCTGCTTTTCTTCCTAAAAGAAAAGCTCCAGATTGATCAGCAGGTGCAACAGAATTTACTAGTAGCTGTCCATGCGATATGTTTTCTAAATTAGGATTATTCTTCTTTGCTTCCTCATAATCTCTATCACCACCCAGCTGCACAGATTGTTCTGCTTGTAATATAGCTCCAACTGAGCTATGAGGTTGTCCCACGCGCTGTTTAACAACATTAAGATCACCAGCAACGCGTTCACTCTTGCCGGGTACCACCTCCACAGGCTCCCCATTGGGCCCCAAGGGTACTGGGGAATCCTCTATAGCAGGTCTTTTATTAGAAATTTGTGATGGAGGTGGTGATGTCCGCTTCCTTTTCAAAATTCCTTCGTTCATTCCGGAATCATCCCCAGAATCAGCTCCCAAATCTTCCCCACTCTCTTCTAGCTGATTCCCTTTGCTTGGCTTTGTTGCTGCAGCTGCTCCAGACCTCAATTTAATCTTCAACCCTACAATCGTCGGTAGGAAACTCACCAGATTCAGCACTCTCAAAATAAGGGGCTCGTGATTATTAAATGCATTGATTGCAAGTCAAAAAATAAATATAAAAGATGGTTACAAGTGTAAATATCTTCCAGTGCTTCACTCTTAGAGAGCTGTAAGAATGCTTCTTAAGTTCCTGCATCATGTTACGACTCTGTGTAAACGTTCTTCAGCTCGAGAAGCTACACTATCGTGTGCATATTTGTCTTCACAGCTCAAATTCAGTTATTGACTCGAACTGTTGGCGCAATTGGCACTTTCTTCGGGAGAAAAAGACTTGGCAATAACTCTGAACAACAACTGAGACTTCTAAGGCAGCTGGTTTTACTATTTCCTGAAGATGTGAGCTCATGGACGAGTAATAGTGGTACTCTTCTCCTTCGCTAAACAGATACAACGTAGGTTTCCCTCGCCTACGCGGGAGACCACCAACGGGGTATCAATTAGTTCTTTAAAGAAGTTCTACTTTTGGTCATTCAATCCACGAAGGATAAATTCCGGATACCTTGGCTAAAAAGAATAAAAATTTAAAACAAAGAAACAAAAATAAAAATAAAAACCATGAACAGACTAACAAATGCTCACATCCCGCCTCTAATTCGCTACACTACATTTAACCCACTGTCGATAAAAGAGAAATAATGCGATAACCACTAAGCAGCTCTAAACTCCTTTCCCCTATTATCCTTTCCATTTTTCACCTCCACATTTGAAAAAATATCCCGCATTCCCAACCTCACTCGTACCTTGATTTCTAGGTCAATTTCTTACTATCGCTCCCCAAAAGTCAAAGAGAATGATGTTCACCTCCAGATCTTACAATTGAAACGAAAACGATAGAAAGAGATTATTTTTAAAAAAAAGATAGAGAAACATACTAAAACCCTAAACAGAAAAATAGTCCAAACATTCCCGTCATATCACTCCTAGTAGTACCAGATACAACAGCAGCAACGCATACCAGCGGGCGAAGCACCCGAAATTACAGGCTGACGCTTGGTCGTCATTGCCGGAAACCGCAAACCTCGACCCTCAACTCCTCAGCGAGGCAAAAAGTTCTCTCACCCCCTCGCCTTGCACCCTCACTCTCCCGCCATTCCGCAACAACAACTCAGTCGTTCCCTCCTTCAATCCAACAAAAGCCCGCTCACATTCCCCATTCTCGGCGTTCGATCAAACATCCACGACACGCAGTCGCGCTTTCAACGATCTCCACTACCAGAGAGGGGGGGGGGGGGGGGGGGGGGGGGGGGTAGAGAGATTTTAAACCGTCTAAAAAAATATAACAAAATAAAGTCGACTAAGCACTACGTAGTTGTTCCTTGTTAATAATACTCAGAGCAACATGAAAATAATGGCTGACGACGTTGGCGATGCTAACTTAGTAACAACAGTAAGTCTTGGTCCGCGGCGTCATTTATCCCGACAGTTCTAAAAATAAAGATAGCGAGACACACACACACTTCTGCTTCCTCCCGCTTCGCAGAGCTGTGACGAAGCAGGAAAAGCACGAGGTCGGCATTATCGAACTCTCTCTCTCTCTCTCTCGCACTCTCGCGCTCGCTCGCTCTCGGCAGGTCAGTCTTGCGAGCGAGCTCGCAGTCTGTGTCGAACGCGACCACGAAGAAGGGCACATGGAGACGGAATCGATGAGCCCGTTGGGGCTACTCCGTTGTGGTGCCGTCCTCGGCATGCGGCCCTGTACCTTCCTACCTACCTAACATAACCTACCCACTTGCTCTGTTCACACGGTACTTCAGCGCTCGTACTCGGTACCTAGTCCGACTTTGTCGTCAGCACGCCAATGCATGTGGGCTCTTGCCATGTGGCTGGGCGGGGTTTCTTTGCTGCAACGACAACAAATAAAATTAATTAATTATTCAATCCAAATCTGAGCTAACCCAAAAAATAGTTACAAATAAATAAAATTAAAAATTTCTCTGATGTAAAGTCATGGTCAGTATTACCTCTTCTCCTTTTTTTCCACTGTTTTTTTTTCAAGTTGCACTAATTTACAAAAATGCATCTTACATGATCTTGGAAAACATATCTGGGAGGATTTTACATGATTTAGAAAGTATATGTGATCTTTGCATAGGGCTACACCTTTCTGGATTGTATTAACTAATTATAGAAAAATAAAAATAAAACATACTGCTAAATAAAAGATTATAGTTACAAATCCTTCGTTATATTTATAGCCAAAAAAATTCTATTGTTATCTCTTTTTGTGTTACATTATGCTTTTGGATAATCAAAGAAATATAGCTTTTTAAAAATTCTTCAATTATTAAAGAGAAACTGCAAACTTATAAGTACATTAAAAATAATTGTTTGACCATTTTCGGATTTTATATACATTATTGCAAAAAAAACAGAAAAAAAAAACAAACAAACAAACAAACAAACAAACAAGAAAAATCAGTAAATAATATACAATATTTTTGAACTTATTATGTAATCCAATAATAAAGAACATTAATAACTATAAATAACATTAAGTAGTAAAAATCAACAACCCTTGAATACAAGTGAAACTAAATAGAAATCAATTATGAATTACAATATATATTTTTAATTAGAAAATTTGATTAAATCTAATAATTTGGTTTTAATTTGGAATTCACAAAGAACCAATGCAAATTTGTCTTATATAGTACAAAAGAATTCTAATAATATGTAGGAAGCAAAGATTAATTATTCTTAATGCTTTTTATGTATGTCAAGCAAGGAAAATCTAATATTATATAAGTTTTGTAAAACATACACAAATAAATGTAATATTGAATTAGCCTAGATCTTTTCTACATAAATTATCCTCTAGTCTAAGATATCAAGACTATGGCAAGTCTTTTTATGGAAATAAAAAATATTTTCTCATAGCCTCTTGTGTAAATTCAAAAGATTTAGTATTATATAGTTTCCACTTTGAGAAATTGTTTTTGGGCTATTTGGATCTAATGCAATATCTTTTTTTTAAAAAAATAAAATATAAAGTCAAAAGTATAGGAGGAAATTGATTTATTTTAACATATATAATTGTGAATTATGAAAGATTACATGCAAAAATATTATTAAATAACCTGATTACTCTCAAAGCTTTCTTGAGAAAAGGAATAAAGAAAAATTGTAAAGAGTATACACTTACATGCAAGACAAAATACACTTACTCAAAACATCTATTGAAGCAAAACGTTAGATACACCCTATTTTGTATCAAAAACAGTGAATTATTTCTTTCAGTTTTATTTTGTTTTTGAGGATTTAAAATTAATGAATTTAATCTTATTTTGTTAGATTTGTGTTTTCTCTAGACCTAGAATTCTATCATTCGAGCAATTTTCTTCAATAATCAAAAGTACTGCTTTGGTTGAATAGTTGTGACATCTTTTGTCTTAATGGCATAGAAAATATTTTTGAAGACTTGATGAGGACTTGTGGAGGTTGTGAATGTAAGAAATTCTTGACATATTGAAATAAACAGCTTGTGTCTTCACAATTAACACCCAACTGTGCCTTGTGGACTGCAGCAACTGGTTTTGTGGTTCATTTTTTCACTACAGATCTGCAAGCTTGGAGATAATCAACAATACAAGACCTCCAGGTTCAAGATTCAAGTTTTTCTTTACATGTTTATCTGATTCCAATAACCGAGATGCATCGCGATTACCATATTCACAAGCCATATGTACTCTGTTCCAGGAAGAGTTGCTATGAAGGAATTTGCACACTGTAACACGGGAACAGGACAAGTAGGCCCGATCACATGGTAAAGATACAGAAATAAGTGGGCCAAAAAAAATGAGCTATAATTATGACCTCCAACGACCACGAACATGTTTAACCGTCTGCAGTTAATTTGAAGGCCAGGAGCCCCAGACCAAGTGTCATGAACAATATGGAACCTGCAACCAATAACAGTGTCCGTTCAGATGCTTTTTCTTCCGCACCCGATTTGCTGACTCTGTTCAACATGGACCTGATTCCCTCAAGATCGCCTTCTTTGGCAGCCTTTTGGAGGTCATCCTCCATTGCGGCTAAATGTTTGAGCTTGAGCTTCTGGTTGTGGTCCTTGCTCGACCATATCCATCTAGTTGTGCGCCACATCAAGATGCCTACATAGATTCCTGAAACCACATCCACACTATAATGGTGTCGTTCACGAATCTCTCGTTGTCCAGTGTGTGCAACCAGAAACCATATGAAAACCGAACCCCAGCCAGGATACGCCTCCTGCACGTCAAGAGAAATAGAGTCACAACCATCCGGCTGTACCAGAGCACAGGATTCGTGCCACTCGACCTTGTCCAATAATTATTGACCATTTCTATGGTAAAAGCCAGTAGTGCTCGTATAACAAAAGACAATGATTTGTAGTGACAAAATTCCCCGATTTATTTTTGAGAATGGCCACGGGTGAGGAGAAAGATAGGAGTCGAAATTCATACCTGCCAAGCCATAGCAGTTAGAACCGCGACATACATATGACCACTGAATACAAGGTCATTGCACCCACCGCCGGCACGTTTCAGAGTGTTGAACCAGTTTTCTGGTCCTTTCCCGATTTTCGCTGGGTCCATGGGTCTCAAAATATTTACCAGGAATTGCATTGAACCCCAGTTGGGCACGTACTCTGGTGGGTAACTCCCAACAGCGGCTGCAATAAAATTTCCCACGAACTGTTAATAAATGATAGAGATCTGATTCCGTAGGGTTCGTCCAACAGCAGAATTCAAATACCAATCCAAAAAATGAAATGTGGCATTCCACATCTTGAAGCATATGGCATTGTAATGTCATTTACACAACCTAGTGTAAGTTTTTAGACCAATTCTAACAAAGAAGCCTAACGGATCTATCAATTTCTTGGTTACGAACGGTGATGAAATTTCAACACTTAAAACCGCAATTCCAAAGTGGTAGATACCCAGCGGATGGGTGGTTGAAAGAAGTGCAGAACGAAGAGTCAAAAGGTGCTTCGAGCTAACCAAATGCTTCATCCCGATCGATGACCTGGCGAACCATATTAGGATCCTTCGCATACGGCATGTAATACTTTTGTGCCCATGGATGTGGGTAATTGGCAGTCTTGAATCGGGCATGAGCACACCACGGTCTGGCTGAAGGCAGGATTGTAGCAACAAAGGTCAAAACTCGGATTAGTCTACCGACACCCATGGTAAACATATAGCGAGCACCGAGACCCATACCAGGGGCTTTTACGCAACCGTACAACACCGAAAAGGCCAAGAGAAGGAAGAGCATCAAGAAATGATGGAGCCCGATGACAGGAGCTCGTAAAAAAGCTACAATTGCTGCTGGTAGCTTCTCGTTGCCAGCTAGGACCAGCCATTGTCCAGAGTCGGGAAGCGGCGCAGTACTCCTGATGGAACAAATCAAGTTGACCGGGTGTCAGAGTTGATATTGTTGACCTCGTTTTGTGACTACAACTTCACAGAACTCAAAACATTCCCCAAACCACTCTTCCGCATTGCAAACTAGTCTTCCTTCGTGTGCAAACTGATGGCAGATTGATACCACCAGCTCAATTCGAGTTTCCTAAAAAATAGTTTATCGATCTCAATAAGCAAAGTCTTGGATATTTCTTTCAACTTAAAGTCGTGCAGAATGAACAGGAAGTAAGCCTACAACACCCGGTTGATTAAGTTATCAGCAGAAAGTCAAGCTAAGGAACATTACAACGCCAAGACTAGCTCAATTCTTCCGACAGACTTTGCTTCATGCAGCAGGAAATAGTTGATTGCATGAAGAAATAAAGAACCACCATTGCATCTTGAATATCAACCCTTGAAATCCTAACGAGAGTGTCCACATGCAAAAACTAACAAGTAGAGCAATGGTGAAATCTGGTAAATGCTGATAGAAGTAGCCCCAGGCCACATTCAACAAACTTAACTGTTCGATAACCAACAGTAACATCCTCCACAATCTGTAATCTTCTAATTATCCCAAGCACCGGTACTGGCATTCGGTTGGAAAAAAGATCAAAGGGAAAAAGGAAAAGAAGACGAGTGCGTGGCGAGGTACTCTAGATCTAGCATCAACATTCTCGCTTACGAACGCATTTACAACGAAGTACCATTGGAACAACGAGAAGAGAACTAGTCTAGCTCACTTCGGGAAAGACAGAATCTTATCTAATCACATTCTACGAGTAAACTTAGCATTTTGTGAGCATGAATGAAACAAAATGGCTGTTCAAACGTTTCAATTAGACAGGAGCTATTGCGCTAGATCGAGTACGCTAACTTAGTGGTTAACCATCAGAAATCCCGACATTCATCCTCAAGAATAAGACAGAAGCACGATCACCCTAGAATTGAACGAGGGACACTCACCAGTGCCAATCCAGACCCAGCACAGTGGTGACATATTGCACCGCCATAGCCTCGACGCAGAGACAACTAAGCATGAACACCAGAGACGCTAAGAAAATTCCGATAGACCGAAACTCTCGGGTCCAGTAATCATAGTACGGGGCACGGACTGCAGCTGCTACAGCAAAGAACCCCCACAAGCAAGGTTGCAGAACCTGGTGAAGTCCTGGGGCAACTTCACGCAAGTAATCTACTGCCACATACGCCACTGCTGCAACTCCCAATGCCTTGGGATACGATGCCATCTTCGAGTCCTCTTCCCTCTCCCTCCAGCGAGGGAGGGAGAGCTTTCGCTTAGAAAAAATCTTCGCCACGAACTGTGAGTTAGGGCAAAATTTTCAGGAGTTGCTCCTTTAAACCACAGTGCTGAATACACGTCGGGAGTTTCTAAATGTCTGCAAGAAACGAGCCAACTCCCTCTCACCCTAACTCCAGGACCTTCGCCTTCGAGTGCAGACGCTAGATGCACCACGCCCTCGCATCGAAGTCTACAACATGAACTTCAATCAGATCTATTAGTTTCTGTACCTTTTTTAAAAAAACCTATAGCTCTAACACCGATCCTCGTATGAAAAAAAAAAAAAAAAAAAAAAACGTAATAATCTACAACAATGCCCTATGAATGATATAGAAACTGCACTTGGAGAAACAAAACATCTAGATCGTTATCCCCTTCCAACACCACACAGAAAAAATGGCAACAGAGAGAGATCCGCAACATGTTTAAAGCACCCTAAGCAAAGCAGACCCTACCAAAATCCTACACCTCTGCTCCACGTCGCAAAACATGGAATCGTCGCTTCAACATTAGAAGATTCAGAGAAGGTTCCAGAGGCGGCGATCAACAAGCAGAACAAAATTTATCCAGCAATTGGCACACAGCTGCATACCTTCTTCACCTGCAGAGGATCTATCGCGCGACCGACGTAATCGCCAAATCGCCGACAATCTGCTTAACAGCGAGATGCAAACAGAAATCGGATGATGCTTGACGTGGTGCTCCGGGACGGCAATTCAAAAATATTTCGAGCAGTGTCGACGTGAGGAAATGGCGTCGACGCCGCGATGGTGCGTCAGGTTCGGCCCAGCGATTCCTCGGCTGGGGGAGTAGAAGCGCACGTGGAGTGGGTGGTGCCTGGCCCCATGATATGCCGGGTGGCCCGGCGTAGACCGGCATCCAAGCATCCCCCGCGGATATTAACGTACGCCCGTTACGATAAATCGAATATTTGCTGAGCACGTTGGTGGCGAGGTCCTTTGCGGTCTCGCCTGCACCCTTTCATCGTTGGTTCCAGCCCCCGTTTCCGTGGATCCCATCACCGCATCCTTTATCTTTCACCGTGCCTTTTCCATGTCAGTGAGTCTCGTCTATTGTGGCTTGCGACTTCACTTTAATACTTTAGTATCTGCGTGAACACTAAAACACTCAAACTATAATGTAACATATTAATCAGTTAGTGTGTGTGTGTATATATATATATATATATATATATAGTGTATAAGATTTACTCTACAATAATAAAAGTGAAATTAAGTAGAATTTGATGAAAAAAATGGTGATTCAAATAATATACAAAATATATAGTTATTTTTTTAAAACGTACATTATTAAGGAATTATTCTTTAATAATACTATATTTTCTAAAATTCAAAAGAATTTTCTCATAGAATTTTGTTTCTAAAAAAATCCACATTTAATATCTTCAATAATTTTGACTTTATTTTTTTTAATTTTTAATTTCACACAGCATGAGTTTCTTTAACTTTGCTCATTCAGTTGTAATCTTAAATCAATTCTTCTGTTTTGTTGATGTTTGATAATGTTTTGAACTTTGCTTTTTCTGGTGCATGGTTTTTAGTAGCCCTTGATAAATAAGCCTGATTGTAGTCTTAAAAAATACCTGTACATTAATACTAATAACAACAGTTGTTTTTACAAGAGCTTCCTTTTCAAATCAAATATTTATCTTTAATGATAACAATTGGTAATTTTATTTTATTATTATTTTCGTGGAGCTTTTTTGCAATTTCATTCAAATAGATACGTCACTTTTTCATACACAAAAACCACCAACAGTAGTCTCAAATTTGTTGGTTATACTTTATCATTTTAGTTAGTAACATAAACTCATTATTTGAAGTACATCTGCAAGAGAATCACTAATTGCATTCAATAACAAAGATTTCAAACCTTATCATGTTTTAATTTTGAAATTAATACTTTTACAGATACATTGGAATTATTGTTGAATTAAAAATATATTGGAAATTTAACTAAGAAATCTACACTTTTTTCAATTATTTATGCATTTAAAATATGAGAAGAAGAAAAAAAATAAATAAATAAAGGTAAGAGTTGATCTTCATTTTCAAATACTATCAATAAAAACTGCATTAAAGTTTTTTTTGTTGTAATAATTAATTGTCAATTAATAAACATTTCATGAGGCATCATAATCAACAACTGTAAATTATTTGAATGTGTTTTATGTAAAGAAAATATTAACATGCAACAATAAAGTTAAAAAAATATACCAATAAAAAATCCTGATCTAATAAACTGAATGCTTGATATTCTTATATTTATTTTAAAAAATATAATTTTATGCATCTCAAAAATATATATTTTAGATATATATATATATATATATTTCTATAATATATATATATATAATAATTCACTAATTAGGTTAGTAAATATAAACTATTTAGTCAGGTGAAAAAAATTACAAAAAAATGATTTAAAAAAAAAAAAAAACTTACTGATTTTTTTCTACAGTCAACGAATTAAATTTATCAACTTTTCAAAACTTTTGAGCTAGATGTTTCAACAAAAACCTCTATAGTTTAAAATTTTATAATACTGAGTTCTTAAAGAACTCAAATGTTTGAATTTTTCTAATTTTCAAAACACACTTCTAATGAAAAAAATACTTAGTCTTCATACTTGTTTTATTTTAACTTAAATTAAAGCTATCTGGTACAAATAATTCAAAATAAAAAACAAGTAAACACCAAATACATAAATTTATACGACCATTACATGTTTATTAAAAACTTATCTTATAACATTAAATTAAGTATATATGTTTATTAAAAAAATAAAAACAAAACCTTCTTTAATGTAACTTATGTATATTTGAATTTTAGTCTGTTTTATATAAAACATCAAGAAATGATTTATGTGAGATAGATTTTTCTACCACACTACACAATGCTAACAGTTATAAAAATATCTATTAACAATAAATGAATATATTATATCATCAAAATATAATGTAGTACAATTATTGTTTTTTCTTTTCTTTTTTTTCCTTTTTTTTCTTTTCATACATATACATACATACATACATATAACCAGGTATTGTAATGGTTGTTAATCAATTTAGGAGTAATAAAGCATATAAATACTTCAAATACATCTATATACACAAATACACTTTTGCAAACTTAGATCGTTAAAGATGTAACAATAGTTTTAAAACTTCCTCCGAAAATGATATCCAGTTGTTTATTTAAATTCAAGTTTATAAAGGGTTGTGAAACGAACGAATTTGAGTTGTTAAAATTATTCAAGAATATGTGCTTACACAATAAATTGTACACACACACGCATATATATATATATATATATATATATATATATTCATGAACAAGTTTATATTGTAAATGTTTTATAAATAATAATAACAAAACTAATATTTGTTATAATGGTTAAGACAGCTTGGACTTTTGACACGAACATTCTTTATTTATCATATAAATATACAAATACATACATACATCTTTTGTACTTCTTTAAAAAAATGTTAAAATAAATAATAAATAATAAATAATAAACTAAATCATAAAAAGTTAAAACTTTAAGTTGTTTTTATTTTTATTTTTTATTGTGTGTAATGTATACACATATGTAAATTATAATAAGTCACACACACACACACACACATATATATATATATATATATATATTTACATATACTTATGTTTCATTATTAAAATAATACTTGCAAATTATAAAGATAAAATATACATTAAACTCATTATGAATTATAATCACATTTATTCACTTCTTATATTTTTAATTATATTTTTGTAATCACATTTATCCACTTCTTATATTTTTATTTAATTCGAAAAAATTGTTTCTATTACTTTGATATCAAATATTTGATATTAAAATAATCTAAAAATATATATATTTAAATTATATATTAATTTTTTAAAATAAATAAGTAATAGATTAATTTTGTTTCATAGAATTCACTGATATATATATCATTTAATTTATTCTGTTTTATAATTTTACTAAAAATAAATATATAGATTCATATTTATATTATTTCAAAAAAAAATTCAAATGTTATAAGGCATATATGAATATTTTTTTTTATAAATTTTAAAAATGTATTATGTGTAATTGATTATGTAACAAATAAAGAATTGTATTGTATTATATATTAGTATTAAGAATTTCAAATTTTATTTAAATATTTATATTTTAATTGGAACATTGCACTTCAATATAGAAATATAAAAGTGTATATAAAAAATAAGTCGTATTTTAAAATAATTAATTATGTTATAACTTAGAAATATAAGTGATTAATTCTTATGTGATTTTATTAAATTTAGAATTGTTAATTTCACTATATATATATATATATATATATATATATATGTACATATTTATAAATTATTACATGAATTATAATTAAAATTTAATCAGACATTATTATTCTTATTAAGCTATTAAGTTTCAATATTTATGCAACTTCACTTTTACATAGTGTATATTTATAACATTCACTATAATATTTATTAAAAATTATCCAAAATTAGATTTAAATTTTGGTTTATATTTTGATGGTTGCATAGTAATATTTTATCTCTCTCTCTCTCTCTCTCTCTCTCTCTCTCTCTCTATATATATATATATATATATATATATATAATCATAATTACTATTAATGTATATATTATTTTTTATATTATTATTTTCCTTTATTTTTAAAAAATATGTGTAGTAAACTACAATATTTTTTTATTTTTTTAAAATCAATTTTGGCTACTTTATATTATTGCAAATAATATTTAATATATTTTTTTCTTCTAAAAAGTAAAATTTTATTAATCAATATGTTGATAATATGTTATATCAAAGATTATTTTTACAACTTTTTTCATGTTAAACTGTAAATAAGAAAATAATAACATATATAAATATATAGATTACAAGTGTATACAAAATTAAGTATACTTAGAAAACCTGTAGAAATAAAATATTTTTTTATGATTAATATTTATAAAATTAAGATTTAGTTATGATATTATTATGCTTTCAACTTTTATTTTATTTTATTATTTTTTTTTGAGTATGTTATGAAATTCACAGAAAAGGCCATTAATTATAAGAATTTGCGGAAGAAGTTTTTTTACAAAAATAAGAGATAAATGGCTTAATTTAGGATGCTAAGGCAAATAAATTTTTTAATAAAATATTAAAAGATTATTAAGAAGTCGAATATATACTACCAATATAAGAACTACTAATGAATACTAATGAATAGAAGATTATAAGAAAAACAAAATACAATTTTTGACAAATATTTAGTGTATGTATCAATGGTAGAACAACAAATTATAGGCTCCACTAAAAGTTACTTCCAACATTGACTCTATTTAGTTATATGATGAAAAAAAATAAACATGGATAAGATAAATTTTTATTAAGATAAGTCATTTTTTATATTTTACTTTTGAATTGTAGATTCCAAAATCATTAGGAATATATCCTTAACATCTAATAAATCCAAATCTACCTTCATGGAAGATTCAAATTACTCCTTAAATCACCATTTAAAAACTTTTCTTTGCCAAAAATTTCTAGGAACTTAATACTTTGTAGATAAAACACTACTTAATTTATCATCTATAGTGTAATATTTAAATGAAACATATTTTTTTAATATTTTTTGGTTCAAAGTTTTAGAAGATAGAAAATGTAAGAGAAACCATTGTACATGCAATAAGGGCGAGACTTGCCAAAGATGTGATTATGAATTTAAAACAAATCACCAATATGGATTGCAATCTTAATTTGATAGTATTCATTATACTTGCTATTTCATTTTGAGATGAATTGTCTTTACTCAAGCCCATCTTATCCAAACTATTAAGAAAAGTAGATAAGCCAAAAAAATTTGGACTTAATAAAAATCTTGATTTGAATGAACATTTTTCTACATAAATTTATCTATTTTAGGCATAAGTCTTTAAATAGTTATTGTTTGATCATTTTATCTGCTTACATAGATTATTTTTAGAAATTTTATTTATAATTTTTTAATTATCTAACATCCACACGTGTGACCATAAAATCCAGTAAAGAATATAACTTGCCAAAAAAGAAAGAATAAAATAAGACATAAGTTCTCAAAACTATTTATAAAAGTATACAAAATTACTTCTAATCTTATTCCAATTTCACAAATAATAATAACAAAACTAAATTGTTGTGAGAAAAATTAAAAATGGAAATTGAAAATCTCTATTTCTGCAAAGAACATCAATAATCCATTCAATCACAATTAAAAAATAAAAAATAAATAAAATTAGCCCACAAATTTGCTCCGAAGACATACCACACCACATCTTCCTCTCGTCTAACTCCAACCTGAAGCGCCGCGCACTCCCGCCGTTCCTCGTCCACCGTCTGTCGGCGACGGCAGGGACGGCGTCTCCTTGGCTTGCAGGCTTGGAATCTCAGATCCTATGTTCATCACACACAAGGAATCGTCCTCGGCCACGCTCTCCGCTGAATTCATCGTCACGACAAAACGGGGAGGAAATTTTAGCATCCTTACGACGATGTTTATGATGATCTCAGCTTCCTCCGTTGCTAGCCAGTGCAGATGCAGAGGCTGGCTTGGTCTGATGAGCTGCGGTGGATTAACGGAAGGGGGCCTTTGTCAGTGCAACATGGAAGCAGGAGAATTGTGAACTCTACGACGGAGGCGCGATGACAATGTGAACCTTGTTGTTCATTGATTCCGCGGGCACATCCGCCTCCACCTCTGTGACATAACCCACATTGCTTGCAGCTGTCTCCTCGCAACACGGATGATTCAGCTGGCTCGAGAAACACGCTGTTGTGGATTGAAACCAGAGGCCTCGTTTTCTTCTCTCGATTAATTCTGTCTTACATCTAACGCCATCTCCGGGAAAGACCCCACCTCGACCCAGTAAGGAGATTCCGTTCAACTTTGGGAGCCTCCCTGGGTCCTGGTTGGGCGTGCTTTTAGGGTAAGAAATTGGGCGAAGATTTGTTTATTTATTTATTCCTTCAGGTAGCGCAAGTTTTCACGCTCTGTAACGTGATGTCTCGCTGCTTAAGGATAAGGTTCCCTGTCCAATTTGTGGGTTTTTGATAACCGTCTGGCATTCTGTAAACGAAGCAGGGAAAATCTGCTAAGTGGATCATGCATGAAGTCAAAACCGAGATGGTCTAATTTTGAGGAGAAAAGATCCCTTTCTTTCAGTAAAGTGTTGCGTGAACAGTGAATCGGTATCTTCTAAAGAAAATGGACCCTATGATCGGGACTGTGTTGAGTTCCATCTGCGACACGACACAGTTGAGGCACGGTCGATTGCTCACTGTGCGATCGAGAGTCTAGAAGGCTAGAGATTATTTGCATGAGTTCGGGAGTACTTTTGTGTTTGCGCGTATACGCAACATAATATATCTGGAGACGATGGGAAAGAGGAATTGTAGGGTATAGGGCTTATTGAATATTTCTTCAGCCAGTAATGTTTTTGCAATATTGCTGCTTCTAAAGCCACCTTCGTTCTTTCTGAGGGGGACGGTGTACCCTGGGTCTGCCATTTTACGTCACATCGATTTCGATGCTGCATTCCCGGGGTTCTCGTCAATGTGTCGACGGAGAAGCAGGAGGTTGTGATTTGATTCCTAACGGAATTTGAATTTGCGGAATGAATCAGGCAGTTTGGTTTCGATAACTACAGTCTCGTCTTGGCGGGGAGATTGTTCGTGTTCCTGCCAATCGCTGCTTTTGATGTCGTGTTTTGGAAGTTGTTGAATTGCAGGAGAGGGTATGGCAGGAGTGTCCGCGAAGAGTGATGGGCCGATGTCAAAGACACGACAGGAGTTGCTGCAGCAGCAGGTAGAGGCTAGATTGAACCCTTGCTTGGCTGCATGTTGGTGATAGGCCAATGACGAAAAGGAAATGAAGGCGATGGTGGGTGTTACATGATTGTTGGCAGATTAGGGCAATCAAGAACGAACTGGGCGAGAACGACGATGACGAAGACGATGTGGTGTCTTTGGAGAAAAAGATGCAAGAGGCAGCCATGCCCCCCAATGTTTGGAAGCACGCTCAACGAGAGCTCAGGTGTAAAATCAATCAATGCTTGAATACGATTCTGATGAGTTTGCTATTCAGTTCTCTTACCTCAGGAGATGCTCAATTCATTAATCCGAGGCTGGGCTGCAAAGATTCTCGCAAACCAAGACTACATGTATCCGGCTCGAGATGATGCCGCTTGTTTTCCAACTTCGTGACACGAAACTGCTACCAATTGGTTAGAACCTCCAGGTTTACGTTGGTGGTGCCGTAACTCACCACGAAAGCCAATTTCTACCTTAAATCCTCTGCATGAGTACGTTAGCAAAATGTTCAGAGTGTCGATGCATGCACAGCACTGGGATTTCATTGTGTACCTCACAGATCGTACGAATTCTCGCGGATCACAACAGTTCATCTTGCAGGAGTTCGCTTAATCCAGCTGCTGTATGGAATATTGGATGCGAATTGAGCAGATAGATTGCTTTGTGCAGACGGTTGCGGAAGATGCAGCCCCAGCAGCCCGGCTATGGAACTTCTCGCACATATTTGGAGCTACTGGCTGAATTGCCGTGGAAAATCGCTAGCGAGGAGCATGAAGTTGATTTGGCGGCCGCCAAAGTACGCTTGGACAGCGAGCACTACGGCTTGAGCAAAGTGAAGAAACGTATCATTGAATATCTTGCTGTTCGGAAGGTGTTGTCTCCCCCTCAAAACCCCCTTCACGTTGCTTGATTGGGGAGGACCTTTCAGGTTTTGTTCATTTTGTTTGGAGCTAGATTGCAGTAGTATCTGAATCATACACATGATGTTGGATGCAGCTGAAGCCAGATGCCAGAGGGCCAGTACTTTGTTTCGTCGGACCTCCAGGGGTTGGCAAGACCTCTCTGGCGTCATCCATTGCTGGAGCTTTAGGCCGGCGTTTCATTCGCATCTCCTTGGGCGGTGTGAAAGACGAGGCTGACATTCGTGGCCATCGCCGCACCTACATTGGAAGCATGCCTGGCCGACTTATTGACGGTATCAAAGTATGTTGCCACAATTTCTAGGGTGTTCAATTCTCTCTTCTGTTTTTTTTTTTTTTTTTTTTTTTTTTTGTTATTTTTGTTTTTATTATTTCGTAGCTTTTCGAGACACTTTCAAAACTCCGTGTTCCTTCTCTGGCAACATTTGATAGACACCTCCAATTGACGATGCCAGAGGGTGGGAGTCAACAATCCTGTAATGCTGCTCGATGAAATCGATAAGACGGGCACGGATGTGCGAGGCGACCTCGCCTCTGCGCTACTGGAGGTCCTAGATCCCGAACAGAACAAGACCTTCAATGACCACTACTTGAATGTCCCCTTCGATGTGTCGAAAGTCGTCTTCTTAGCAACGGCGAATAGGATGCAGTCAATGCCAGCTCCACTATTAGATCGTATGGAAATTATCGAGCTACCCGGATACACTTGTGAAGAAAAGCTTCGAATCGCAGTGCTTCATCTCATACCTCGTGTGCTTGAACAACATGGTATCACAAACGAGCACATTTCCATACCAGAGGCAACAGTGGAGCTCATCATCCAAAGATACACCAGAGAGGCAGGAGTTCGAAACTTAGGACGACATTTGGCAGCATTGGCCCGCGCGGCAGCTGTGAAAGTGGCGGAGAAAGAGCAGTCTGTCCGACTCTCGCGGGAGATGCAAACAGAAATGATATATCACGGAGCACAGGGCCTCGGCGCCGCTGCTGCCGAAGCAGACATGGAAGAGGAGGCTATGGGTATCCGCGAAAAAGAGATTATTCCTTTGGCAACTAAACCAGACCCTCTGCTTGTTGACGAAGTGGTGTTGGATACTGTCCTTGGGGTAGGGTTTATGTGCTCCTCCTGTGCTTGTAATTTTCGCTTCCAATGCAGCTACTGGATATTTTTTCTAAGTTGATATGCTTGATTGAATTTTCTAGATGGTTAATTAAATTTCTCATTTCCATTCATGAAACTTCAGTGCCTGCAGATTACAGTTCATGGAAATGAGCAAGGAATTTGCAATTTCTTTGTCCTGTGCAGCCACCAAAATTTGATGGCAGAGAAGCAGCAGAGAGAGTTGCCACGCCTGGCGTTGCTGTAGGACTGGTGTGGACTGAAGTGGGTGGCGAGGTTCTCTTCGTAGAATCCACTGCAATGTTAGGGAAGGGAGACTTGCACCTCACTGGCCAGCTGGGAGATATTATCAAAGAATCAGCTCATATTGCACTCACTTGGGTAAGCAACGCCAAACTAATTTGTATTTCCAGCTTCTCAACACACCGACACTTAACGGTTCCGATTCATCTCATATGCTACTGATACGTGACTAATCCCGTATCACTACATCTATTGTTCAGGTTCGCGCGAGATCTGCAGAGCTGAAACTACCAGTGGCAGAGGCAGGAAGCCTGATGAAGGAGCGCGACATCCACATCCACTTCCCGGCTGGTGCGGTGCCCAAAGACGGCCCATCAGCAGGGGTGACACTCGTCACTGCTTTGGTCTCCTTGTTCGCCAAGCGCAACGTGAGAGCAGACACTGCCATGACTGGGGAGATGACCCTCAGGGGGCTCGTGCTTCCAGTTGGGGGCATTAAGGATAAGATCCTCGCTGCTCATCGGTGTGGAATCAGACGCGTCATTCTACCGGAGCGCAACCGCAAGGATCTACAAGAGGTTCCTGCCGCCATTCTCAAGAACATGGAGGTCAGTGCATCCATTCCAACAGGCTCGAATACATCTTTTCGGCTATTGAACTATTGGGCAATTCTCATTTGTTACTCCACCGTGTTGCAGATAATACTTGCGAAGCGGATGGAGGATGTGCTCCACCAGGCATTTGAGGGAGGCTGCCCTTGGAAGCCTGCGTCACGTTTGTAGAATCCATCAACAACGGAACTCTTTGTAACATTCCTACGCCATCTAGATCTCTATCCCGTGTGCACCTCAACTCTCTTGTTACTAATATCTGATTGCGTTGTAGCGCTAGTTCATTTGCCAAGGTATGAAGTGGGGATTCTAACTGGTACACAGGCTCTTTTACTTTAGCCAGCTTTGAGAGGATTAGGTGGTTGGTCGACGTCGATGCCGAGGTATCTGTGCTTGCAATCGTTGAGGAAACTATTAGCAGGATCGTTTGGATAGATCACGTAGCCAAAAGTTTTATGCATCTATTTTGGCAAGGAGGAACTGTATCATTGTATTATATTATATTGAAGTCTAGATGGCTCCACAAAGTTATGGGGGAATTTCTATACTAAGCATCTTATATATTAAAGTATAATGTATAGGTTTGTCCGTCGTCTGTTTGTTTGTTGCCAACAAAAAAGAAATAATCTCTTTGTTTGTCTGTTCATGATATGTTCAAGGGTTGAAATAATGGACAGTAAAATGTAGTGGAATGATTAAAGTACTTGCAATCTTCATTGCCTTATCACTCAATTAAGTGATGTCTTGTTTTTGCCCAAAGACTTCCTAGTAGATTCCCATTAGGAGGAGGTGATGAAGCCATTCATTTAGGCATTTGTTCATTATTTTATTTGTTAATTACAATATAATTGTCACAAGTATTCATTTATATATACTAGCAAAAACTTATGTTGTTGGACATTGCAATTTCTAGTACTACCATCCATCTATTTCCTCTTTCATTCATGTTTCTTCATTCCTATATTTTCTTGTTCTTATGTTTGATCAATGAAAAGGCTTCTTTGTTTCTTTGTCTTATATCCAAATTATATATATATATATATATATATATAGTATTAATAAATGAATATTTAAATAATAACATAAAAAATCATAGAAAGAAGTTGTTTGTTTATAGAGATATTATAATACTTCAAAGCTATAGCTTTTATGATAATATCTTGGTATGTTAATAATTAAAATTGTTATTTAAATTGTAAAATAACATGCTTATCAACACCTCAATTGACTCCATTTCCTTATTATATATATATATATATATATATATATATATATAACATTAATGCCCTACTTTGTCTTTACAAATAAAATTGCCATGTCCATGCACATAATCAAATTACTTTTTACATTGGAATTTAGTGTTCCATTAGTTTAAATTTTGTTCATAAAAACTTACATTTTGTTTGAAATTTCTAGATTTCTAAGTCACTCTTTGTATTATAGTATATTAAATTTCAAGTTTTTTATCTAATGTCTAGTATTAAATGCAGCAGTTTAATCTATTTTATGTATATATCTTTGGTATTAAATGTGTATGCTTTAGATCCAAAAATTTAATATACACAACAATTATAAGATTAAAATTGCGGCAATATTTCTATGACAATGTCAAGTTGGAGGTTGTTAAAGAAAACATTACATTAGTTATAATTAAAAAAAATAAGACATGAAGTATCTTTATTGAGATTAATTTATTGGTTGCAAGTATTCAAAAGCTATCTAAAAGAATTACATCTTTCTAACAATGCACATATATAACTAATTAATGGATGCTTCATACTTCAATGTCTTTACTACATAATGAAGTCTAAAACCATAAGCTTCTTTGCTTTAACACATCTTAACCTTAACTCTTAAAAAAGGCTTTTCTACCATCATCTAATTTTTTATATTCAAAGTATTCCTCTATTACTATAGGCACCAACTACCTTCTACTATTTTTTCTTTTACACCTTAGTCCAACCTTCCAATTTTGTAAGATCAATTATATTTTCTTTAAAGACTCTCTTCTTGCTTTACACACCTTCCTCAAGTTCTTGCAATAGTTGAGTTCCACCAAGTTGATGTTGTTGTTATGACATTGGCGTCAATTCTACTATTTGAAGCTCTACTTTGAAAATCATTAATTTCATTTTCTTGTACTTACTAGTGGACATAATTGACAACGTTTCAATACCAAAATTTAATAAAAGATTACAATAGTAACAACCTTAATTTTTGTATTTGCAATGGTCTTTGTAGCAAAGACTATGGTGGCTATTTGAGACTATGAAAAATTATAGGGATTCAAGAATGGACTCAAATTGCAAGTCAACAATGATTTGCGAAGCTTTTTGTTATTGTTGTTGTTGTTGTAGTATTATATGCCTAGTTTAATGTCTTTTAAGGAACTAAATGCTTACAAATTGAGGCTTTGCCACCTTATTGCAATCTTGGTAATCAAGGTCAATTATTAAGGCCTTGTAGTTATAGCAATGTATTATTTTTGATTATGTGATTACCTATAAGAAGATTCAATATAATAGTAGGTTATATATTAATTTTGATGGACAATAGTATTTAAAAATCCAAAATAACATAATAAGAAAAATATATGTATAATATTCTCCATAAGCAACAATAAGGTCAAAGTCTTGACACTACCATAACTTAATAACAAAAGAAGATATTACACAATTGCATACCATAAAGAAAGAATGTAGCAATAATTCTTGATGTATTTGCACTTATGCTTTATTGGTGCATGAAGGAACAAAGACAATGAAAAATAAAAAATAAATAAAAAAACCCATCAAAGAGCATGTGCAATAAAAATTCATGTTATCATCTTATTATGCAAAGAATGAGTGTTGAGAGAAGGTGACTACTATAGTATCTAATCTCTACAATAAGACATATCTTTTTTTCCTTCTTATTATAATTAATCATTTTAAACCTAATCATATAGGCTATAATCTTTGAAATTCAAAATAAAGATATTAACTATAATAGTGATAGTGCTTTTAAAAATAGCTGACATATTTTTTGCCATGATTATTTAGAAAGATTCTAATTATATCAAGAAAATAATAATGGTAAGAAAAATATAAATAGTAATATTTTTCCTAAATATGTAATAATTTATTATAATAAATATTTTTCTGTGTTAAGATAAATAATTTAAAATTAATAGTACTTTTATAAACTTATCCTTACTATTTAATCTACTATTTACGTTACTTTTAAAAAAACAATTACATAATAAATTAAAACTTTAAATAATTAAATATCACTTCTGAGTTTAATTAAACTTAAAATTTAACTTTACACTTTTTTATAAGCATAATAAAAAATACTTAATACTATACTAAGTAATTTGATATTTTAATATAACATTTATATATGCTTGTAATTTATATGTTTGATATTTATTGTTGTGATTTTAATTATTTAAATATATTATATTTATTTATAAATTTTAACATAAATAATTATTATTAATTTATAAAGTATTTTATTTAAATAAAATATTATTTTTATAATATTTTTGTATGCTTAAAATTAAAATTTTAATAATTTAATTAAAAATATTAATCAAAATTATTTTTTTATATTTTTTATATTATCAAATATACTTTGAATTTTTAAAGAAGTATAATTTCTTTGATGTTAAAATAAATATAGAGATTTAATTTCTCATTTATAAAAAATAACAATCAAGTTATATTTATTGAATTACTTATTACTTTACAACTAATCACATTTAAATTATATTGTATCTCTTGTTCTATTATAAAAATTATATTATTTTAATTAAAGATTGTGCTTTGAAAAATCACACATAGTTCTCAAACTAAAATATTATCATAGATATATAAGCATTATGTATACAGTTGTTATTAGTAATATATGACAAATGCTTATACAATTATAATGATAGCTATGTAATATATAATGCATTCTTATATAATAGAGCTTATGTATATATATATATATATATATATATATATATATATATATATTTATTGCTAATGTCACCAAAACATTTTCTACTATTGCCAAAATTTACCATCCCTATATGCCACCAAATTTTTTGCTACTTCTACCTCATCTTGCCACCCACTTAACATACTTCTTTAATTTTGATTTTTATCTTTTTTATTCCAATCAATTTTTTTATTGATATTTATAATATGTTTTTTGATTCAAATAGTAAATTTAATTTTATAAAAAAATAATTGAAGTTGCAATAGCAAAAACTACAATGATATGTGGTAGATAGAAAATTATGGTGGCAATAGCAAAAACTATTGTGGCATTAGGAATGCTATATATATATATATATATATATATCAAACACTGATATCTAAAATTAAATAATATTTTAAAATTAAAAACCTAAAAAATATAAAATTTCATCATAATTTATTTTTATTTATTTGACTATTTTTAAAATATGAATAGTTGATGTAATATTATTATTTAAAATATAAAAATCTCATGCATAATTTAAAAATGAAATTAAAATTTCTACTACAATATATCATGTAAAATTTGACTATGAATCAAGTAAAATCTTTAAATCTACTTATATATATATATATATATATATTCATATATTTATACCTTTTATTTAAAAATTATTGTGTATTTGAAGAAAAGGTAGTGCATAGGAGTTTGGGCAGCACAATCTGACTGAATGGATGAATAAGTGGATGTAGGGAATAAGTTCGATGGGTCATCACCGCCTTTGGGGTCTCTTGCCAAATCGTCCTCCCCATGCTATTGTAGTTTGGGAATCGAAGCTTTGAGGTGGAGCTCGAATTCACAATGCATCTCGAATTGTGGGGATTCTGCTTTAACAGGAGACGATGAACACTTCGGTTGTTGTTAATGGGAGCAGTTTGATGGAATCAGAGCATTGATTTCTGCCCTGGAGGTGATGACATCGGAGTAGGAGCACGGGCGGGTGTGCTGGAACTGTGATGTTCACTGCTTTATGTGTTCGAAGGGATTCCTGACGGGTTTCCCTTTTCGGTTTCGTTGCGTTGCGTCCCTCTCCACCCTTCATTTCTTCGTGAGAGCTTTAATGGAGTAGAGAGGAGAGTATTTTAGGTCTCGGCCATGGGCGATGCGGGAGGAGTGGCAGCTCCGGCGCCGATCAAGCGGCTTGAAGAGGCCGTGGTAAACAGGATTGCAGCAGGGGAGGTCATTCAGAGACCCGCGTCTGCATTGAAAGAGCTTCTGGAGAATAGTTTGGATGCGGGTGCGACTAGCATCGGCATCACCATCAAGGACGGGGGCCTCAAGCTCATTCAAATTGTTGACAACGGCCATGGCATTCGGGTATCTTGCTGAAATTAACGATAGTCAAGTTCGTGTGAGGATTTTGAATTGGCTACATTTGAGAGGACGAGGGATTTGAAGACTTGCGTTGGAAAAAAAGTTGGCAGCCCGACGGATTCGTTGCAACTTTTGAGACTGCAATAGGTGGCTAAGGCTGAGAGATGATAAGGAAATGGCATCACTCGAAAAATCCTCATTGGAATTTGGCATTAGCAAGCCTTGCAATTTTATTGCTGATAGCATAAACATAGCATATATTGTGTAGGTGTTATATTTGATGATATCATATCGTTTTGATATTCTCGAATTTCTAGTCTTGGCGCTTCGGGAATGTCTTGAATGATTTAGTGAACTTTACATCAATAACTGGAGAGGACTTCTACAATAGGATTTCACGTTTGGCAATAGATAGTCACAAAGCTTGTGTGTGTATAATGACTTGTTTCGTTTACTTTCAGTATGAAGACTTGCCTCTTCTTTGTGAGCGGCACGCAACATCGAAATTGCAAGTGTTCGAGGATCTGGAAGTCATTAGTACTCTAGGTTTTAGAGGTGAAGCATTGGCCAGCATCACATTTGTGGCTCACCTTAGTGTCATCACCATGACGGAAGGCCAAGCGCACGGATACAAGTAAGCACAAGTATTTCCCATGTTTTTTTTACATACCTCAGCCATTGGATTCATGTTGGGAGTGATAGCTGTTCATTACAGGAGATAAGCTTTTTTCCTGTGATGATTTAGGTCGGCCAGATAAGCTTTTTCCTGTGATTGCCAAGTTCCTCAAGTGTTCGTTGCTGAGTGTGGGTGTATGCTCTGGCTTCAAAACCTGGATGCTGGCAGGGCAACGTATAAGGATGGGCAGATGCAAGCAGAAGCTCGTCCGTGTGCAGCCGTGAAAGGAACACAAATCACGGTGCAGGCTCCGACAAAGTTGCAATAAATTGCAATTGCGTTTGCGTGTGCTGTCTATGATGAGTTGGTTCAATCATTGAGAGAAGTGTGTGCTTGTGTACGTTATCCTTGTGTTCCTTGATTGGGTAGCTGAAGTTTTGTTCAGGTAGAGAATCTATTCTACAATGTGGCTGCTCGGAGGAAGGCTTTCAAGAACCCCAATGAAGAATATGGTCGCATACTAGACGTGGTGAGCCGATATGCGATCCACAAAATTGGTATCAGCTTCTCGTGTAAAAAGGTATGAGTTATCGCGTGCTAGTCATGAGCGACTCATCGATGATGTGGCTTCTTTAACAGGTTAATTTTATGAAATACAGTAGAATGTTGTTCACTTAATGCAAGTGCGTAGTAATGAATCCGAAGTTAGTTATAGCTTTCGTGGTGCAGTGTTTATGACTAAAATTTTCCTCGCTTTATCCAGCATGGCGACAGTCGAGCAGACGTACATACGGTGGGATCATCCTCACGAACAGATACTATCAGGGCTGTTTATGGGCCTGGAGTAGCACGGGAGCTTATTGCAATTTCAGCATCAGATGACAGTCCACAAGGCTCCACTTTCCAGATGGATGGTCTAATTTCCAGTGCTAACTATAGCTCAAAGCGGTCAAGTATGGTTTTGTTTATTAACGGTATGTGAAATCCTCAACTGAAGCGGCACCTGATGTTGTGGAGTACCACAGATTCAGGATTTGATTTTGTTTCCTAGTTATTTGATGCTGCTTTAATCTACTATAAGATGCCTAAAATGTTCTTGACTACGATGTTTGCAATTGTCCACTCTGCTGTTCCCTATCATATATGAAAGGCTACACCTTAACAGTCAAGTGAGTGTATACTAGAAAGAGAGGTGCTCACAAATCCAACCGATGCATGTCTGCAGATCGACTGGTAGAGTGTACCGCATTGAGGAAAGCTATTGAGTTAGTATATGCAACGATCTTGCCGAAGGCTTCAAAGCCCTTTATCTACATGTCTATACATTTACCTCCCGAACATGTTGATGTCAATGTGCATCCAACCAAGCGTGAGGTAATTGAGTAGTTCCTCTTCCATTTGTACGTTAAGTGTGTGTAGCTGAATTCAAATCCTGTATATTGCATTACTGTATGTAAGTTTTCACAGGATGTGATTGTCGACTCAACATCTAGGGTCTGCAAAATCAAGCTCTATGTTATGGAACTTCACGTATCAGGTTGTTTTTACTTGCAGGCAGTGATAGGAAAATATGTGATTACAATTGACTGCCAAAGAGTGAATTATTCTCTTGGGAATTTTTTTGCAGGTGAGCTTTTTGAACCAAGAAAGCTTAGTTGATACCATACAACAAGCCGTGGAGGCCAAGCTGTTGGAATCGAACAACAGTCGGACGTTTTCTACACAGGTATTTGATAACTTCCTCTTGGTGCAGATAGAACGGATAGGACATTTCTTATTACGTTGTGTATGTGATGATTGATAATTTCGTGTGAGCATTGTAAATGTCAGTCATGAGTGTATTTGCAGATACAGTCAGTGATGTAGTCTCTTGTATACGTTGAGCATGACGTGGAATTTGTTCCCTGTCGACTTGCTACCGAGCTTGTTTATTAAAAGCAACATTAAAATTTGTTATTCCATGTGGCAATGTTGTGACCCCCAGACGTTACTTCCAGGAGCATCCATAGCGATTATTCCAAGGGAAGAAAGCAGCCCTTCTCCATCACCACCAGGTGATAAGTAGACTCGGCTAAATGTTAGGGCAGCTGCATCTAGATATGAACGTACAAAAATATCAGTTAGAGGCGCTGTTGTCGTGAGATGTCTCTCCATGTTGGTGGATATTCGGTCTGAGGATACTACTTGCACGGAGGTTATACTTAAGGTGGAACGCTTGACGGCAATATTGCTTATCTTGTGCAGTGATTACCCCTCAAAAAGCTCCTGTTAACAAGAAGGTGCGAGTAGACTCCTTGAACCCACAGGGCAGACTGCACGCCTTCATGCACAAGAAAAGAAGCGTTACCGATGAACCCTCACAGATGGAAAATGACCTGGCGAAAACCAGGTATTCTAGATGTCGTGAAATCTATAGTGACAATTATTTGCCTCTGGGAGAGGCTTCAAACCCCCAAACATTGACAGTAAATTTCCTTACTCATGCTGCTTCCTGCGTCAGCCTTATGACTTACCGAGGACGATTTCTGCTTGCAGGCGTACAGTCAGACAGCGCCGAAACCCTAAAGAGAGTGCTGACCTTACTAGTGTCCAGGAGCTGCTCGCTGCCATTGATCGTCAGACTCATTCAGGTTCATGATGCATTTTTATTTCCTCGTCTTAAGCGGGGAACGTCAGTATCATAGTGTGGTGGTTTCGTTTCGATAATGCTTACGCAGACATGTGTAAGTGCTGTTTGCAGGAATGTTAGAGATCATCAAGCAGTGTATTTACATAGGCATGGCGGATGATGTGTTAGCTTTAGCACAGTGTAAGACCCGGCTGTATGTACTGAATGTTGTCAATCTCAGGTTTGAAATCTCTTACCTTTTATCTCAACATCCTTCACAGTGAGTGTTGCAGTGATGATTTTCAGATTTTTATTTACCATGTGCTGCAGTACGGGAGGTGTTGAGTTGGGATAGTTTGAAAGTCGTCGTTCATAAATACAAATATGACCCTCCCCTTACTACATTCCCAGTGTAGGTGGGTATCTCATGAATGCTCTTTAGAATCAGCATTTTGTTGCTCCTTTTGTCGAACGCCACGAGTTTGTTAGAGGTGATGGTTTTGGTAGTTTTTCTACCTTCAAGAATCACAGGTTGCATGGGCAGCTTGATCTATTGAGGATTTCATGTTGAATGTGATAAGTTATTCATCAATTTTGTTTTACTTGTCGTTTGATTTTTTAGTAAGGAGCTGATTTACCAGCAAGTCCTTCGACGTTTTGCACATTTCAATGTCATGCATCTGAGCACCTCCGCTCCTTTAATGGAACTTCTTATGATAGCGCTGGATGAAGAAGAGCGCATGGGACGGTGGTGTGAGTCTGATGGGCCAAAGGGTCAGATTGCTCAGGTAAACGCTATGGTAGTCTCTTGTGCAATGTAGTTTTTTGTTTATCTTGGCGCTTTATGTACTATTACAAAGTTCTCTGACTATAGGAAGAAATGAGAATTAAAGTCACTTTGCCGAAACTACTTGCTGAGTTGTGCAACACCTGCATAGATGAAATATTGATACTCCTATTTGGGGGAGGTTGTTTAAACTGAGTATTGGCTAGAATGGTGTTTTCGCCGGCTCAGTCTTCAAATATCTAAACGGCTTGCTCAATATCAGTATTTTGTGTGTTGTTGTTGCGCGCAGTTAAATGTGGAATTGCTGATGTGCAAAGCAGAAATGCTCAAAGAATACTTCTCTATAGAGATCGATGAGTCGGGAAATCTCTGCACATTACCTGTGGTTTTAGATCAGTACACTCCAGATATGGATCGGCTACCGAGTTTTGTTTTGAATCTTGGCAACAATGTAAAAACTGTGCCCAAATGACTCCTTTGTTTTTTCTTTTCTTTTACACGAAATAAAAAAGAAAAGAAAAGAAAAGAAAAGAAAAGAAAAAAAGAAGCATTTCAGGCCCTGACAGATGGCGTATGAATCAATCATAAGTTTTCTTCTCTTGAGTAGAATACTGAAGTTGTCTAGTATCTTTAGATGCTCAAGTCCTTTACCGGAGTGCCAAGTATAGCACTCTAATGTTATTCACAATCAGTCCTCATGGTTCAATGAGTTTATTCTTTGCATGTTGGCTTATCTAGTCTCATGCTTTTCCTCCTCTTGTCAATCAGGTTGACTGGGAATCTGAGAAGGAGTGTTTTGAAACCCTTGCGGCTGCCATGGCCGACTTTTATGCGATGCATCCACCTTTTTTGCCAAACCCGAACGAAAATGAGCATTCTCAAACCTATTGTGTTAGCAAATCCAAGCAGGCCGCAACTGATGGTAAGATCCCCTGTCTACTTGTGAGTCGTTTTTAAAGCCAGTCTCATGATACCTTATGACGTCATGTTAATTATTTGATTTTGTTCTTTGGAATAGTGGTTCCCTTCTATTCTAATAGCAAGTGTGTCTTGATAGAGGGATCAGAAGAACAAGCTGGAGGCTCTGACATTGATATGCGAGCCGAGGCTGAAACTGCTTGGGCGCACAGAGAGTGGTCTATCCAGCACGTGTTGTTTCCAGCGATGAAGCTTTTTCTAAAGCCTCCAATGCATATGGCCAATGATGGTACTGCTGTTCAGGTGTGGTTCTGCCGGGAGGATCATGCTTGACTTCACATTTACTTCTGCAGCATATCTTCTGCATATTGTGCATTATTTCACTTTTCTGCCATAGCATGCTGAATGTTCATTAATTTGTAGCAAGTTAACTTAATTTTTCTTTTTCTTTTTCTTTTTCTTTTGAGTACAGTTAGCGTGCCTTGAGAATCTCTACAAAATATTTGAACGTTGCTAAGGTATGTCGAAAAAGTTAGTCTCTTATCTTATCCTTTCTCTATAGCTTCGCATAATCAGTTGGTATTTTTATTTACATGGTGAAGTTTATTTTAAAATGTCATTGGAAGCGACATGTTAGCCCTTGTTTCTGAAGCGTTGTGCTTCAATGACAGATTATATGTAATATTGTCACATGGATCTTTTGTACAGAGGGCAAGTCAATTTTTCTCATGAGGGGAGATAATTTTAATTTCAGGACATATACGATGGGCTCATGATCTGTCCGCAGTTTTCATTGTTTTCTTAATGCTTACGGACACTGCCGTGGGGAATCGTAGTGAATCAGTACCAAACAGATTGTTATCGCGACTCGTTAATAAGTTAGTCGATTGCTTGAGTCCAGGCGGCTTGAAGAATTAAGGATAACAGTGGCTGAAATGAACAATATTTTTGAATTATACTCGGTGGTTTATAGTCTTTTGTTTGAATACCCAATCAATTGACATCTATCAGTTCTACTGCAGAAACATTTCGAGGACTTGCGGCTCACATCATTCCCATGCTCAAAATATTGCTGGCACATTGTGAACAGGAGGATGAACTAATTCCTGTTCACCATGATTTTTCTGCTGCTCAATTTGAAGGGCATCGTCTGAGATTGGACTGTTGAGACATGAACTGCAATCAAGATGAGGAACATGGATGCAAGAGATCCCAACAGGTTCAAAAAAGTGCATGCTCAGTTTTGAATGTGGTACAGAGATGCAAGGGAAGCACAACATTTGTTCCTAGATTGATTGGAAGGTCTAAAAGTTGGAGTTTGTGAGCTATATAGTGCCAAGGAAATGTTAGTTTGATATGAAATAGTTCAATGCCCCTGCACTATGAATTGTTCAATGACCACTGAATCCTTATGAAATCAAATGGCACAACTGTACAGGTAATGATAAAAGGGTAGGATGCTACTCTGTTTCTGTTATCGAGTAGCATCTAAAGTTGCACAACACTGGACATCCCTTTTGGTCTGCTGGCTGTCTCTGATAGACGGTTTCGCAATCTAATTATTACTTTTTGTTGAAATTGTAAATGATATGAAACTTAAGTTCGTTCCCAATGTGCAATTTGTAGAATTCCTTGCACGAGGAGGCTCTGTCGCTTAAGAAAAACTCTTTTTCAACAAATCGAAGGGCTTCCTCAACCTTCCTCCCCTTCCACAGTTTCGCTTTATACCACCATCTTCAAGTTCATCGTTTTCTACGAACGAGGTCTCTCCTTGAAGCCGGCCATTTGGGAGATCATGAGAACCCCTTCCTCAGTGTAGACTATTGCAAACACCGCCATGACAAGAATAGGCGGTGCAGATGTGAAGAGACAGTAGAACAGTATGAGCACAGGATGAGCAGTTTGTGCCTGTGAACACCATCAAAAAAAATGTAGTCGTTAAGATGGACGGATTTCCAATTGAAATGTAATATTCCGAACATTATTCTTCCACGGCCATCATGCTCGGGGTACATTACTTGACGGCAACTTGGCTCATCATGTTGTCACCAATTGCATTCTTGAAATGCGCCCGTTAACCAGATTATGCAAGATGTCTCCTGAAGGCGCAGTGCACGTCTTCGTGCACAAGAACAAAAGGCTGCTGATAAAAACCCTCGCAGATGAAATTTAAAAATAATAAAAAAAGATTGACTAGGAAACAAACAAGTGTTTCAAATTTCATGACAAGTAGCATGACTCTATTTTGACTCTGGGAGAGGCATCCTTGCATTGCAACGCATAAGAGATGACGGGCGCATCAAGGCTCACGATTGAAGAACTCCTGGATTGCAAGGTGACGATTATCTGCAGGTTATTGAATTTAACAACCTGCAGTTCACAGAGTATTAAGGGAGACAAAGGCACCAGCAGAAGAGTTGTCATATTTCTCTAACCTTTCGTACCTCAATTACAAGACCTTGGATGGGTAGATGTGGAAAAAAAACCACCATTGAGGTCAACATGAAGCTGCCTGGAAATCTGCCGCAAGCAAGTATGTTGGATGGCTGCGGTGGCTGGACGTATTCTACCCCTTGGACATCCACTTCTATGATTACTTCCGCACCATCCATCACCTAGAGACCCTCCACTCTTTCCACAGCTTCTCCGTAAGCCACCACCTTCAAGGTCATCCTCTTCCTCACTTGAACCTTACTATAATGTAATTAGTTTGCGATGACTTGGTTCGTGAGAAAATGACAACCAATTTTTTAAAGAAAAAGAAAACGAACCAACATACGTTAGTGATTTTAAAATTCTGCGCGTGCCAAAATAGAAGTTTGTACTTAAGCTTGAGTTGCATAGAATGTCTATTGCAGAAGATACTGGGACGGATGATACAATATTATTGACATAGAAATGAAAGCAACTTGTAGAGAACCATATCCTGCAATAAGAATGAAACCAAAGACTGCATGAACAGATGTACGCATATACACGGCCTTTGCACTGGTCCTCCTTTCATCTAGAATCTGAATTCTTCTGTAACACAGGCTCTGGAAGTTTCTAAGCTCCAACCTCCAACAGACTTACAGAATCACTATGGAAGACTTTTTCCTCCCAGCGAAATTGATAGTAAATTCTCGCTTGAGTGACAAAATTCACTCTTTTAACCAATAATACGAACTACATACTAGAAACAAACTATCTTCACATTTCATTTACAATATTCACAGACAACAGTTACCACAATGTGACACCGACATTCACGGGCAATGAGCACGACTAAAGCAATGTCCTGTAGTGTTGTACGACTTTACATGGTGCTCTGGAAGAGAGTCACAGTTGCAATATGCCCATTCTTCATTACCTGTGAAGTCAGGCTATTTGATTTCAGAAAGATTCAAAAGTCAAAAACAAATCACTGTCTAGCTGTATAATGAAGTATTTCATTACCAACGTCAGAAACAAACGAAATTCACATTTCGAAGAACAGAATATAATTTCGAAACTCAACTGTTCACACAACAAAGAATGAAGAGATTGCTAATAGAAGCATTCAGCACAATGACGGTAATTACCTCCAGAGCGATGTTGCGATAGCCATACACAAACGTTGGACCGAATGGATTGCTAACAGAGCCTTGCGTTTGAATTGCAGCACGACCACCATCGCCTAGTAGGCCCTATAACATCAACCGGGTATAATATTTGTAATTCTGTAACAATACAATCTTGCAACTTCTGTGCGTATATTGTCAAAAACATTTTTGTCCTGTGATAAGCACACATAGCTCAGCGCTTACGTGGTAACTGAAAAAAATTGCAACAGTACCTGCACTTCACTCCATTTGGTGTTGGCAGTGATACGCCTTTGATTTCCATCAGCGTAAGCAGCTTTGTCAAGTTCCTCACCACCATCACCTGCAATTGACCACATCATAGAGACGATCATGAATAATACAAATTAAAACAGATATACAAAGCATGGCGGCATTGAATCAAGTGCAATTTTATTTGCTACCAAGGCATTGAAAGCATTAATCAAAGTATACCCATTATAACACTCGACTTGGGAACAATTTTTATGTGCTCACTGCTAGAAAACCAAAACTTTGGAAACTTGAGCGGGCTTACTTGGGGGAACATAAATAATGAAGTTGCATTTGATATAACAGTTGAAGTCCGTGTGACCTGGAAAATTGGTATGAAGTACAAACTTCTTGATGCGATGAGTCTGCCAATCCACCTCATAGTGAGCTACAAAATCGCCTGTGAACGAGGTATGGAAGACCATTTGTACATCAACAGGAAGTAGACCTCCACCAAATCTAGAAGATAAGTAAAGAGTAGATACTACACTAATACACTAACATATTGATAAGCGTATTAATTGCTTGAATGAAGCAGAGACTAATTACGCACCTGACCATCGAACAAGATATCAATGCCGCGTGTGAAATAATTATAAAAATAATCACCACAGAGTGCAGTGCGAGGTTTTGGATCAGAGGCAGAATGGATCACCATAGGGTCAACCTAACAATGTCGTACAGGAAAAGAAGCACGAGGAATGGTAAGTATCTTTCCGACTTATGTGCAACCAGCAACCGAATAAAGAAAAGAGGAAAACTCTTACTTTACACAAGTAGTTGCATCTATAGAAATTATGTGTAACAAAAGTAATTTAGAGCTGTTCTATCTTCATGTACACTATCGCTTCCGGTTATTACACCTGTGATGAGAATGACGAACATTCAATATGCACCAAAAACAGTACATTTCAAGACAGACTGGAAAATCCAAATAATGATATCAGCAGCATGCTTCAAAGATAGACAAAGATAGTAAATATTAGAAGGTGAAATAATGGGAGCATAAAGAACTAACCTGTTTCTGGTGAATACCACATGGCCGACCTAACTCTGCCCACACATCCTGCCAAACACATTCATATTCAGGCACAATTTCTGCATGGAACACTACAACGACACCCATGTCACCTCTACAATTTGACAAGGTGATCTGAAGAAGCATATTAGACGACCCACCTGTGGAGATGCACCGAATAAAAGATGCTGGCCACCACCAGTAAACCACAATTCCTCTGCCAACTACACAAGTAAATGCAAAACCCTAGTTAGAAGAGATTGCTAAACCGCTATCATACAGTAGCTTGGTTTTATATTCCCATCTTAAGACTCCAGGACAGAATGTCACATCTAACTCAAACCAAACACCTCGCATGCCCTAAAACCTGCGCTACCTCGGAATATCGTACAAGCTAAAATGAAAGATACAGCATCACCAACCAAAATCACTTACTTTAGCATGGACCTCTTCCATGTAGAAGCTCCCAACCGGAAGCTGAGGCGGTAAAGCAATCTTAAGGGGAGCACCAACACCAACTCCACCTCCGACTGCGCTGTCATATATGCATATACGCGACATAACCGGAGTAGTCCCATCAGGAAATTCCAACGGCAACTCCGCTGCAGAGTGCATATCCATGTAAGAGAACAGTAAACACTAATAAACATTCATGAACAATAGAATAGTTCTAAGTCATAAACTCACCTTCTCGATGCTGACAACACTCTGTGTACTGTACTGGGATAGGGAAAGCGAATGATAGACCCTGTAAGATAAATAGATCCATTAGCAATATAAGTCGCTGCATTCCTGCAGCTAGCAAGCATGGTAATGATGAAATCTATCCACCAAAGTGCTTACCAGCCGTGGAAATTGTTACTGAAATTATAGATGATTTTCCTCAAATATCACACAAACCAACATATACAATATAAGATAAATTTAAATAAAAAAGGAAAAACCGTTAACAAATAGAAAGTGCAAGAGACTACTTACAGGGTAAAATAATGTGTAAACGCACCGCTTCATGTTGAATGTACCTGGAAAGGTTGGTCCAAAAAGTGCATAAACTGCTACAAACGTGGCTGTAATGTTTGGTCCCCTGAAAAATCAAAAGAAAAATGAAATATCGATCAATACACGATAATTAATGGAATAAAAACCAAAACTAATAATAAGTACAGAATAAATAGTGAATAACTTCATCCTCTCACCCGATTGACGAAGTAGCGTAGCGCATGTGCAAGCGTTGCACGTCGTACACTTCTATCAATCTCAATCGCTGCAACAAGAAGGTTATCAGACTACTTCTGACTTACCCACGAGTAACTAGAAGTGTTGGTAAGATAGACATATAGAACAACAAAAAAGACACAAAGCTATGCCTCGTTGAAAGAATTTCAATCCACTACTGAAAAAATTTAACCACTACCAGCCAGTAATGACATACTTTTCGATAGATTCCAATAGGCAAAAAGAGATTCAGATTTCCACAGCACGGATTTTTTTAAAATAATGAACTAGTGCTCTATAAGTATACCTCTTCATATTTGAGAGGATCATCTTAATAATCTTCTCAGAACAAAACGTGCGAATCATCAACGAAATTTTAATTTCTTACAAACTTTCCATTCGACAAAAGGGTTGATGATTTGCATGATATAAATGCCTTAATGAGTGCAATTACGCACTATCCTTTTCAACCGTGAAGGATGGAACTTATGAATTCTAAAACTTCTTTCACATTCTGGAGATATCTTTCAAACGCGAATAAATGTTACATTACACCACATCTAAAGAATGTCCTTATGTACAAGTGAACAAGGGAAGCATGGATACCTGCGACTGAGATTCAAACCGCAGATGAAAACCATGCTCAGGAAAGTTGAGAACTAGATCCATTTGCAAGGGTTCCTGCACACCCTCACAATTCACTGTCTCCCTATGCAGCTCATATTTCAACCATAAAATTTGTAAGATGACACCCCCCCCCCCCCCCGATATGCGGAACTCTAGAGTATACGTTTGGCAAAACAAGACAGGATGCCAGACTGTTGCCACAAGAGAACCATAATCCTACTACTCAACCTACTTTTCAGACTTCATGCTCCACTTCAAAGCTTCAACTTCGCGGTAAGAGAAGTATAAAAATTGCATCACACCAGCCACAGGCCACTAGCAAGAGATTAATGCGAAAAACCCTAGAATATAGAACCCAACTGAATCTATGAAAACGCTAATACCCTACTCGAGTGCGTATGCGGATTATGCAAAATCAGTAATTTGATAGCCTCGTAGACCCAAAATGTGTAGGACACTTAATTCCATTCCTTTAGGAAAGACATCAAAGACAACAAACCTTACCTCATCGTTATATTTCACTTGTACAACATCGAACGACGACCTGTGCTGCTGAACGTACGCCAAGGCCTCACACACCGGCATTCCTGAATCATTTCAAACATCAATGCTTCAAATTCTTTGCATGCTAGAACAACCCTAACCAGGAAAGCCATCCTCTCCATCCTCCCTCACAAATCGCTGGAAATCTCAGAATTTTTATTGTAATCTACACAAAAACATATACGACTTAAATCGCCACAACTCCTCATCAAAAAAACCCACCACACCCAACTGAAATTCGTCACCGAGAAGCTCTAGAAAAGCAAAATAAATAAATTTGTTACCGAGATTGAAAGCACCCAGACCCGCCCCGGGCCGGAGGTCAAGCGTGAGACCTCCCATTCGATGGCAGAAGCGTGAAGACAGAAACAACTTTTCTGATGGAAAGATGTGAATCCTTATCTTCGAACGCCTCTAATAAAACCTTCAATTCTTGCACAAGGTCCTTGGAGCTGAAGAATCCTTCAGGAGGGTATAAATAGGAGGATAGAGGAAGCGTGCGAGAGTCTGTGATGTTCCTTCTAAGTTTAGGAATCCATTCACACCATCTCTACGATATTCAAGCAATGGCTTCAGGGTTTCACCGTATCCTAATCTAAGACCGTGAAATGAAGGCGTAGCAATTGAGTCTTGTTGCCAAATTCTACCTCTCTTTTCCCTTCCGTTTTCTTATCTCAGTTGTGTCTACTCTCTTCTCGATATCATAGGTGGGTGACCTTCATGCAGTGCCTACCGTGTTGCGGAAACCGCCCGAACAAGGGGGTCTATCCATTTCAAAAATGTGCAAATCATGGTACCCAATTGAAAACGAGATGGCGCACTTGGACTGACCAGGCAATGAGCTTATCGAGAATTGCAGCTTTTTCTTTTAATCGACAAAGCTACGGCTCTTCGTCAAAGCTCACTTCCAAGAGATCATGTTAATGCCAATTAGAGATGCAATTGCCAACCCACAATATGCAAGTCACTGAAAATATTTCATACTAGATCTTTGCACCGTGTGCAATTTAACAATAAGATATTACACACACTGCTTTGGACCAATCAGTTCATCATTTGAAAGCCGGTCAACATACAATTCAATCCTTTATGAGCCAGTACAGGCTCCTTTGCACAACAAATACGTATGCTCTTCAACTGTACACCTCTTTCATCTGTCTCATCATCTGTAGAGATGATTGCTTCACCTCTGTACGCACTAGAAAAGCTCTTGAAACACAAACAAGAGATTGCGGGAGCCATGTTACAAGCAGAGGTGTCACAAGCTCCACCAAAAGAAATGCAGTTGACGAATAATTGATCACAGAAACTATTCATTACTCGAAAACTTCTTTCGGAAGTGAAACACGAGATGGGAAGACAATGAGCCGTCGAAGGATTCTCCGTCATCATATGGATGAGTCGTCACTTATATCCCAAAACTTGTCCACTTGAAAGGATATCCAACAGAATCACATGCCCAAGGGCCAATCGTCGTCATGTGTAACTCGCTTCACTCGACCGAAAGCGAGTCCACATGTTGACTGCGGTTGTCTATTTCGTGCCGTCGCAGAGAGACCGAACCCTGTAACCACTTATAAAGTAACTGTTCATGGTACACCAGTGTATGGGACGCTAGGATTTGCTGCAGGTTCAGTGTAGTCTGCGTGCAGTTCAGCGATTAAAAAGCGAGCCCCTTGTCTATACATTTGATCATTATCCTCCGGTTGTGAGGGCGTTGGCACCTGTAATTCAATAGCTGGAAACTTTAGTAGCTGCAACTCGGAATTCTGTACGTGTATCAAGGGAATTGAAGTACGTCTATGCGCAACCATGTTGTTTGTAACAAGACCAACATTACAAGCCAAAATTCTTACGCGGCGGTACATAGAATACATACCACATCATGGCCAGCTTGTTCATCACTCCAGTTCAGTAGACGCCTGTCAGGTCTGTAGGCCTCTTGGACTAAGGTACTGCCTGAACATTCAACAAAAAATAGGAAGATGTCAGTGTGATCTCATCAGATTAAAAAGAACTTCGAATCTAAACTGTGCTCCAACTCCAGCTTGCAGCCGTCGCTGAGCTTTCGAGTGAACTTGAAGATGGTGCAGTCCGAAAATAGAAATTCAACGAGAATCATGGACCCCCTCTGCTTAACATGCGGACAAAATGACGAGATCAAGGAACTCTCAAACAAGGCTTCAGCACAGAAGCAACGTTATGGCAGACACCTGAGGACATGTCCTGCGCTGACTTTTTCGAACCTTGAAAACAATAAGATGAAGCTCTGCTAATGCCGGCTACCGAAACTACATTTAAAACAATAGAAAAACTCCACTCCACTCTCTTGACATACTGGGTCGACGAGGTGGAAAAAATTAGCAGATTCTACATCAATCAACACGTACGGAACTCGATCCCATCCCAGATCTCACCAAAACACCCCCAAGATGACGAAGCATTGCACGAGATGCTGGAGGTAACCAAAGTACTGGGCACACCAAGGAGAACAAGAGCAACCTGCTCTCCTATCTCACGCACAGCGACCGGCACCCAGCACGAAGTGAGAGTGTATCGAGTCCAAAGCCACCACTGCCGACATCACCAAACCCGGGGCTCTCTCCCACCATGACGAAAAAGCCCCCTCCCCCTCTCCGCAAGCATAACATCCAATAATGAAGCCCCACTCAGACAGTTAGTTACCTGAGCCACCTCGTAACTGTCGGGCAGAAGCAGCATCAGCACTGTGCGGCGTCTGCAGCAGCAGCAACAACACGAACACGATGGCATACACCCACGTCGTGGACATCCGAATCCTCGCCATCTGAGCCCCCTCACATTTGCTTGCTAGCTGCCCCAACACTTTTTTCCCCACTTTTGGAGCAAAGTCGTGTGAGCCTCCTCACATAGTACTACTACTACTACTCCCTGACGAAGGTCAAACCCCAAAGTCATTGCATCTCACTACCCCCGCCTCCTCTCGCGACTCGCGCGAGGAAGAAACCATCTCACCCCCACCCCCGCAGTAGCAGGGAATGTCAAACCGCGAGAACGCGGAACCACACACACATTTACTCAACCACCTCTCCCACAAACCCACGAGCAGCAACAAAATTTATCTAATAAACCCCATTGGGGCCCGCAAGCAGGCCATGGAAATCCCAATGCGTCTGTTCCAGCTGCATTAACGCGACGCCGCACATGGTGCCGGCATCCACACGCTACGCCACTTGGTGCAAAATCGGCACAATCCCAAAGTCAAACTACGTTAAGGGGAAGGTTCTGGCTCGCGGCGTAGCCTCCCCCCTCACCACAGCCATCGCCATCGCCGCTGAAAAGCTTGATTTAGGGTTTGGTCTCGGACTTGTCAACTGATCCAGCCCTCCCGCGCCTTCACTCTCTCGCACGGCCCGGCTAACCCACGTTCCTTACCACGTGTCAACAGCGGATTAACCCCTTTTTGCTCATTGCCCATTGCTTCATTTATTATTCATGCGACTATTTGGTTTCCTTTTTTAGTTTGTTTTTTATTTTATTCTATTTTATTCTATTTGTTGTTCTTATTGGTAGGGCACTGCACTGCCTATCACACCGTATTTTGTGCCCCCCCCTCCCCATCTAGTTTACTTACCATATATTCTTTTACTTTAAAGTCTAGCGGATCTAAACTTGTCTTATTTGTCCCTGTGATTTGTTTGACAATGGCTTGGGTTGTTATAATAATAATTATAATAATAATGCAGCCGTGCAGCATCAAATCAGGTCAACATATGTAGTTATTGTATATAATGGTGTTGGAAAGTAGTTCATTGAACTATGTGAGTTCTTGGTTTGGAAAGTTAATTTGCTTCTAATTGCACGCGGAATTGCACATAAATTTGAGATTTTATCAAATTACACAGTAATGAATCTTTTAGATATTTCTAACAACCAGAAGATAATCAAAATTATGGTATCTCAGCAAACACAGATTTTATTTTTGTAAGAGTTTGATTTAAGTTAAATTAAAAGAAATTATAAGTACGTCTTCTCAATCCTAGTACACGCATCCATCAAATTCATTTGAAATAAAATAAAAATCAACGTGGTTAATTCGTACCTGATCATTTATTCTATTACAAATCGTTTTAATATAATTTTATGTGTACATGTACACTATGCAAAAACCATCAGCTGAATGATTTATGTCTTTAAAAAATCTAAAAAGAAACTGTGTTCTAGCCCATAAAGATATGCATTTGTTTTAACTAACTAGAGAATCCATTCCATTAGACAGAAAACGCATAAAATGGAATCCAAGCTTTACACTTGGTTGGTGAATGGTATAATAAGAATGATTCCCATTTGACGAAGCTCAATAGTATTATCTTTCACATATAAGGAGATGCTTGTTTTATTTAATGTAATAATTATTTTTTATTTGCCGCTAGAAAACTTTTTCATATGAAAATTTGGAGACAAATTCACAAGAGAATTGGAATGCCACTCTTAAGAAAATGAGAGGCTGAGAAAGATTTCTTTTTTCTTTTTCTCTCATCCACAGTGGATTCCTGGAGAAGGTCGGTGCCACGTCATCACACACACCCCAGAAGGGGAAGATGCTGCTAATCCACGTCAGCTCTGCTGCCGTCTTCGTTCTTTTTATTTTATTCTTTTTATTCTTTTTTTCTTTCCCTCAATTCCATCCTCGTATTTCTTTTTCTTTTTCTCCCTGTGGGCCACCATTTGACCTCCAGCCTCAGTGTGAAAGCGCTCGTCCACGTGGCACTGCTTCGAAAGTCTCTCTCTACATGTCAACACCCTTACCCAACTCCCCAATCATCAAAGTATGAGCCCAGTTTTATTTTATTATTTATTATTCATATAATAAATTATAAAATACATATAAACAGCAGATTATGGTCAATTTACATCGAGATTAGGGGTCAATTTTTTATTAGTGAATATGTTTGGGTGTACGGATTATGATATTCTATGCATTAAAGACAAGGTTTCATAGACTTTAGAGGCTCATTAATTATGTTGTTTTCATTTTCAAGTCAAGATTTGAATTGGGGGGATCATCTTTGGGTTTGTGACAGAAAAGGGAAGAGGGGTTGAAGACGGTGGTTCAACCAAAATAGTGCTTGTCAAGAGGGAAGATACATGATACAAGTATTTTTTTTTTAGTTTTGTTTCATTTTCATTTATTAATTTTTAATGTAAAAAAATGTTAAATAAAAAGGAAGCTAGTACCTTTTGCTGTAAATGGATTTAATGTAATGTACATGGCTTCAAATGGAATGGAACAAAGTAATAAAGTATAACATTTTTGAAAATAACACTTCTCTTGGATGGGCTAGTGAACCTTCTTCATGTTTGTTTCTATCATGAAGATTTTATGCCACATTGCCAAAGGGTGAAGGCTCCTCATGGACTCTTTGACAGTTCGAATGAAAGCCTTTCCAATCTGATGCTGGACTTATTCCAAGCAAATTGATCATATTGTGACATGGATGGCTAAATTATAAAAACAATTATAACATTTTTGTATAACAGAATTTTAAGTTCATTAATTTTTAATTATATATGTATATAATTTCAGATAACTTGTTTATTTATTATTAAAAGGAGATTCAACAGCAACTCATGGATGTAATTGTTTTTTACAGAGTGACATTTATTTCTTCAACAGAAGATTCATCTTGTATACATTAACAAAATATACAAATAATGTTTTGTATTACAGAACGTTGGTATGACTATACTATTGCAAACTGATGTAACATATTAATTACAGAGTTGCAAATAGATATATAATTGCAAAATAAAAAGGCTCACATTTTATTTTTAAAAAATACCATTATTTACATTAAAAAATATTGATATTACTTTTGTAGAATATTTATTGAAAATTTTATAGTCATTCAGTAGCAAGCATCAAATAACTTGATTGGATTTGAAAAAGGAAAAAGAAAAAAAGAAAAAAATATAATTACAAATATGATGAACATGACATGTATGAAATGGTCAAGGAAATAACTTTTCCTTAAGAGAAGAAAAAGTCAAAATTTATAGAATAGTTACAACTATTTTAAAAAAAAACTGTTGCCAAAGTTATAGATCAGGTGTTTTTAAATTCTCAGTTTTAAGAAGCTATAGAGCATAAAAAGAAGGTACATAAATAGAGACCCATTCTAATGAATAGATATTAAAGCATGTAAAATTTTATAATTTTTTTTTCTATATATATTTTTCTGTGTCTTGTAATAATGAACCCATGTTTTGTTTTAATTTTTTCTTACGAAGAACACTACCAAGTCTTTACATATACAGTTTGAATAAGAAGAATATGACAACTTTAGTTCACACAATGCATAATTCTGGCCATTTGGTGTTAAAAAAACAGTGAAGCGTCAGCAGAGATCGGCAACAACAATTGCAGCAGTAGCTCTAGGTGAGGCAAACTATGTGGCCAATTCAACAGTGAGAATGTTTGCTTCGGCGATCTGGAAACGGTGAGATGTGTTGTGAGCAGATCTGAAACCCAGTTGAACAGATTCTCGTTGCAACGAACTCCTTCACGTAAAGGAATCTCCCTCTGGCCATGTATGCGTGTGTGTGTGTGTGTGTGTGTGTGTTTGTGTGCTGATGGTAGATTCATGGTCAGTGTCTGTGTAGAGTTGTTAGCAGTCGTGGGAATTGTTTTGGGAAGACAATGGCTTTTGCTGGAATGGCTTTTGTGTGAACAATTAGTGAGGTCTTTCCATGGTTGTATAATATTACTCTTCTTGTTACCTGTGGCGATGGTGGCGATAACGCTAAGATCAACCTTGAATTCAATCTGAGAATCCACTATTTTGAAGACATGAACATAAAGAGATTCATTTATTCATTTATTTTTTCTCCTGTTCAAATTAATCTTTGGTTGCGTGGTGTGTTTCTAATGGTTTCCTTTGAAGCAAGTTTGACAACTGCCAAACGAATTCCAATCGCATTCTGAGCGGTCATGAGACGAATAATAGAATGAAACAAGCTTTGATCAGACCCCCGAGGTCTTGAAGAAGAAAGGGGCCAGAAATGAAAGGAAAGCTGTATTTCTGCGTGTTTTATTACTGCAAGGATTGCGAATGTCGCACCATTCATATCTGTTGTTAACTGCATCAGAGTCCACCTGCACCAGGGGAAAACCCATCACCCTGGCTGGTGCATTACCGATCTAAACCAAAATCTGTTCAGATCCCAGGTCTGCAAACATAAACATTCTTTGAGAGGAACGGACCTTCGGTTCACTCCGATGGTAAAAGTCGACGCTTTCACTCTTCGATGGAACCAAAATGAACCTTGGCTAACAGGCTGTGAAACTTGTGTAACTGGGTCCACCATGAAAGATTAGCTTTCTGTCTTTCAAGCTCACGAAGCTAGTTATTCCTTCACGAGTATGGTAAATATATCAGTCAATATATATATATATATATATATATATGTGTACGAGTATTGCACAGTTTTCTGGCCGAAAGCATTGCGTGTATTGACCTCAAAGTAGGCAAGGTATATAAATTTAAGGTGCTATTAAATGTGATACAACGTCAAGACACTACGAAACAATCTACATATATATATATATATATATATTTATATAAATATATTTGTGTGTGTTCAAACTGCAGTGATTAAGTGTTTTCAGATTGGCTGTCAGCAGAAGTGCTGCGGTGAAGATGGGTTTGGAACCACGATATAATCTCTCCGTGCGCAGTTTCTGCTCGGTTGCGAGCCTCTAAATTGTTGGGTTCGTAACGGGTAGTCCAGCCATGGTCAGCATCTGGGTATATATTGCAGTAACTTTGGTGTCCAACCTGTACCAGACTACAATTAGGGCAGATGAACTGTGGATCCTGGTTTCTCTACAGCCATTCATACCGTTGGAATGCACAAATGAGATACATTTCCTCAAACAGCTCGCTCTATGAGATGATTTATGAGTGCTGATACTTACATCTGGAGAAGCTTTAAGAATAGACTCAAATTCCAGAACCATCTTGGGGGGTGTGATAATGTCAATTTCTGCTCCCAAGATCGCCAGGGGCACCTTCACCTCTGCAATACAGCGAACACATGCAAGTACGAGTCAACCATAAACCAAGTTTGCAGCGGAAAACAGAGAAAAATATCTTTTTAATAAAACATGACTGGAAAGAATCAGTGTGCTATTATATTAGGTGTATTATGACAACCTTCGATCCTCATAGCGCAAGCGAAACGGCTAGTTTTCTGTGTTATTTCACTCAGGCATCTATCGAATGCAGTCTGTTTTGAGAGGCTCAAGGCTTGGATTGCTGTTTTGAGGGATAAGTTAGAGTGATCTAAAACCTTTGATGTCGTCCGTGGTAAGAAACGATGGGTGGCACATTATACCAGCACCAACAGCGGTGTCGCCCTTCAGCAAGTTCACTAAAATCTTGGCTGGGCACAAGAGTTATCCGCAGAAAAGGTTATAAAGAATCCCATAAATCACAACGATTTCATCTCGAAATGTATAGGTTTAGGAATTTTCGAAATGAGCTGGAAATAAATCAAGTGATACTTGGCCTAAACTTTGTGCACACTCAAGTTTTGAACTGGGTACCTCCCCAGCAGAACCCTGCGGCACCAATTACATGGAAGCCCATGGTGTGGATCTTCTCCAGCACTTCCTTGGCATGGTTTATTGCTTTACGCTGCCAACGAAGACAGATATATGACTGAGAATAGCTTTTTTGGGAATGTTGTTCTTTTGAGCAAAGGACTAAAACTGCTTCTGGTTTTTAAACCTCAAGTCAACTAAAAATGTGAACCAATTCTTGCGTATGTACAATATTCGAAATCAGTTGCGGGAGGTGAGTTTACCTTGGAATGACGCTCAAGATACTCGTGAAGCCCACCATACTCTTGATTAGGATCCGTAGATGCGTAGGGCTCACCTTCCATGAAATCGGGCACCACCACAAAATGTCCTGCAGCGGCAATCTTGTCTGCTAACTGCCTACATTCAAACGCATACTTTCTCACATACTTCACCACACTGATACTTTACAGAAACTTTACCGAACAATAGATCCACATGATAAACAACCCACGAAATTCACAGACTGTTACTTCGTACACGACGACTCCCTGGTTAAAAACCCCCAACTATTATCAAGCTATTCAAGTGATCTTGAATGAAAGCTGCAGTAAAACCTGAACTCAATCTGATATTCAGCTATTCCAGACGGACTAATATCAATAAGCAGAGTAGCAGTTAGATTAGGGTGGTTTCCTTACCTAGTTTGCGGGACGCGCCAACCTGTTGATAATACACAACGGCTTAGAAGAGAGGTAGGCTACGCACATCTGGGTTGCAGGTGTGGAATTACAGTATACAGTCAGCCATGTGCAATGAAGGAAATCGAGAAGAGGTTGAGTTACATGCCACACCATCAGCAGCGAACAGAAACGAACTAATGCTGAGCTTCAGTTCCAACAATTCCGACCAAGGAATCCGTTTGATAAGAGCAGCACCAAAGATCATGCACAATACACTATAGAGAATAAGCTAGTCATGATTTTCTAAGCTTTCTCACCATAGATGTCGGAGATGATGAGAACTGCCGATGACGGAGCTGGCGACAGGCTTGGGCCAGCGATGTAAACAGGTAGAGAGTTCCAAGTCTCATCGTGGCCAAGCGCTTGGTAATCACACGAAGGTGGTGAGATGCAGCATTGTCCCCTCGTTGTCTTCTTCTCCACTGTTGTTGCGGCTTCATCCGTGCCGATCCCTCGATCTACGACCTCAACCGCTGTAAATGTGCTGCCGACTTCTGCCATTAGGTTGAAGCCTTACTCGAGTTGTGGGTTGATGCAGCTTAGTCGGTGGGCGTTGACCGGAACTAGTTGATAGATATGATGAGATAGGTTCTTCTCAAATTCAATAAGTGCGATCATCTGCGTGAAAGCTACCATCGACAGGGCGTGCACACAACAATCCAGTCCTCGCTACCTTTCTTTCTGTCTTAACCTGTCCAGCTGACCTCCGATCTTCTAGCAATGACTTCTAGGACTCTTTCTCAAACTCAAAAGCAACGAGAGCTTGGTGCAGCTTGCTGTCCAGTCAGTATCTACAGAAAAGCTTTCACGTTACATTTCAGCTTCCGCATCTAAGCCTGAGAAGACGATGCAAGCGGTGTTCTTATACGAGAACATCATGGGGCACCAACTGCGATCTCGAGCTATTCCGCACAGATTTGGAATAAACTGACAGAAAATTAGCTGTACCTGATCAGGTCTGGTTCCGATTTCCCGCTCCGGTGTCACCTTTGATCATCCTCGTGGAATGTCAAGCTTCAGAATGGAGGGTTCTCCAGTCACCGGACCTACTCTAGCTGCTACAAGCAAATATTTCTAGTAATGTTTCTATTTAGCAACCTCAAGCATTATCCAAATATTCGGCGTTCGATTGTAATGGTTTCCCATTTCCCAAATCGATTCACCTTTACGAAGATTCGTGTAATATTCATGCGCACGTTGGATTGTTTAAAAAGTCAGGGATTCCATCAACTTATGAATATGACGACGATCTTGACCTTAAGGTCACTCTACTATGGCGACCATAGGTTACGTAAAATATGATTTTTCTAGTCTCATTCTATCATTCCGACCTGAAAGCGGATTTAGTAATATCACTGAGTGTTTTATTCTCACGTGAGAACTCATTACTCAGCCAACTTATTCTGAAACGTGAACTACGAACTAAGCTTTGGTTGATATAATCTGAAAGGGAAAAATGGGAACAATCAGCACTACTATTACTTGCAGGCTAAATGTGCAGTAATCACACCTTAGTTTCGAAACTCTGTGTAACCCGGCTGAGCTTAGACGACTAAGATAATCAGAGAACTGTGGTGTGTGACCAGGTTCCCAGATACGACAGGCATATTTGAATGAACCGAGGTTGCAGGCTTTTAAATTGTTTGCAGAAATACCGCATGAGATGTAGCCAGGTCATTGGCCCCGGCAAGTAACGATCACGAGCAGAAATTGATGCCTTGAGCCACAACTGGCTTGTGGGTAAAGCCTAATGTCTCTTATTAACAGTAATTAAGATTGATGGCCCATATTTTATTGTCGCGCTTACATGTCATTAGATGTTAACTACTCACTTGTCAGTTCGAAAAAACCGTGCCGAAGTTAATGAGCTATTTGTGACGTTAGAAAATATTATGTAACCTGTTGGCTCCCAGGTCATTTCCCATGACGGCAAGTCACAATACGACAAGCACCATCTTTTGTTCACGTGCAACAAGATCCTCCCTCGTGGGTTCCGACTATCTCTCACTGAGCTGGAATTATTTATTCCACACAGTGTTGGCGGTATTTATTTTATTTTATTTTTGAAACAATCGAAGAGGGACTTCATTGCATTGTAAAACCATAATTTACCACTTGTTTCCTTTTTTTGGTTGAGGTTTCCTTTCTCTGCATGCGGCTGCCCACTTTATTCTACCATAGCCTATGATGCCCCACCAGATACATTGAAGCAGCTCACTCGGATGTCATGTTACTTTATTGAAAACCGCATCGTTGTGCTCAAGCCACAACACCCATTACACCACCGTCCGAATCTAGGACCAAAGTACACTATATGGGTCGAACTTGCAAGGGATTCTTGCCAAAAAAAGTCCTTGATGCCAAGACAGGGGTTGCCATGGACCTCTTGCGCTGGCACCGTGGACCAGGGCATTGAGAATATGAATCCCCCATTGCCATGCGCGCTGTGTTAAATTACACTCCCAAAACCGATGGAGTATTAATTTAACTGATCGTCTGGGGTAGACATGGCAACTGAATGAAACTGCACAATTGATTAGCCCTCTCCACGCATTCACTGCGATTGCACGGTGCCGTAGGAGCCACGAAATGTCGGCTTCTTTGCTGGCTCGCTTCTTGATCCACACCGTCTTTCATCGCAGCCGGAATTCTCTGTGATGCACCCCCGGCCACTTTTGCGCCGCCGGATTGGGAATAACATGCTTCGCACGGAGGAGCTCTCGTCCGAGCTTGGCTGAATATCCGAGGAAGGGTACTGGTCCTTTTGGCAAAGGCCATTGGAGCTTGTGTGGATCCCAGCACAGCTTCCCAACTTGCCCATAGAAAAACAAAACCAATCGCTGCTAGGGTCCCTTGAGTGTCTTCATCACTCTGACTTTACAGTGGATCCCACCAAACAACGTGATGTGTTCGCGGGGTTGGATCAGTAGATATCGGGATTGGGAGAGTACTGTGAAGCACGGCGTAGTAGGGGGAGGTGAGTCATATGACTACTGCCACAAAGGTATCGCCTTCCTTTTGGGACTTGCCGAACCACAATCGAGAGGGAGTTAATGCCGGTTTGATAGCACCCAACCCATTCCCCTTGTTCACCAGGTGAAAAGTTTGTTAGCAGAGCACTCCAGTGCCGAGCAAGGCCGCTGAGAGCTGCGTTCTAAGCAGCTGTTTCCTTCAGTTTTAGCTCGAAGGACACTTCTGCTTCCTGGGCCGTCATGAAGGAGTCATCGTTCCTAGCATCTCTGATGCACTTGAGCCCAGCCCTATGCAATTGAGATGCGCAAATTTTAGAAAAACCAGTTCCAATGAGAGAAAAGGAGGTGGACCACCAGAATGATTCACAAGCAACCTCTGCCACACATAGGTTAACATATTGCAACTCATTCACCAGAGCTCTCCTAGAGGAGCCGGCTTTTGACCAAGCCTTTACCCTTGCTTTGCTTGAAAACGAGGTAGGGTGAAGTATTCTAACATAGAAGACCATCTTCCTTGTGTATAAGGTTGGAAATGACTAAGTCTAAACTGTAGTAACACATAGAGGTAGGACACACCAAGTTCACAAGCTTTAAGTATCTACTTCACTATCAAAGAGATTAAAGCATCCATAGGCATAGAGGTAGGACACACCAAGTTCACAAGCTTTAAGAATCTACTTCACTATCCAAGAGATTAAAGCATCCATAGGATTAATCATGTCAATACTTCCATTTGCAATTGGTTGGCAGCAGTGAAGCAAGGAAACCTTTATTTGAGTACATTGGAGGTTCCTAGACTACATATAATTTTGTACTTGGACTTGTGCTTTTCCTATTCTTGCTTTTATATATCCTCAAATTACAATAAAGAAGAAAATAGAAGAGAGTGGCATTTTATTAACTATCACTGCTCTACCAATATGATTTATCTTTGTTGTATTTTAACTTTTGATCTACTTTAGACTTCAAAAAATTATCTATATCTAAAAAAAATATATTCATACTAAATAAAATGTCCAATAACTTGTTAATATTCCTGCCATCAACCCAAGTAATTTTGAACATATTTTTTCAATCTTGTTGTATGACTTTTTTTTGCCAATAATCACATGATTTGCTCCAATTAAATACAAGTTTTGAGCTTAGGCAAAAGATTTTCAATACATTGAAAAGTTTCTTCATTGGACCTTCTTCTTCTTTGAATGTAAAGAAAATATTATCTGCAAACTGTGCAATTACTTGTTATCTATTTTTAACTAGGAGCATTCTTGTCATGGCAATAAACTCTTTTATGAAACTTAATTTTAGCATTGCCTGAAAGAAAAAGAACTAATCTACTATGTTATAAGTTTTTAAGAAGTTCAACTTAAAGAAGATAAGAGATTGTTTTAAATGATGAATCTATTCTATAGTCTCATGTATGAATAGGATATTTTTAAGAATGAAATACATTGAGAGAAAAGTTGATTGATAAAAAGAGACAATTTCTATGAATACTAATTGATAATATATTTGTAATGCCTTTGCATATAGTTTATATGCTACATTGAGGACAATAATTAGCTTCAAATTTGTCAACTTAGTCCTTTGCCTACTCTCAAACAACAAAGAAATGAATCCTTTTGTGACTTCTTTAGAAAATTGATTATTCCAAATAGCTTGTATTATCATGATATAGTAGTCATTTTTTATTATCATGACATTCCAAAATACTTTTATTTTTTATTTTTTATTTTTTATTTTTTTTGTAATAATACTATTTGGATCTGGTATAATTTTGGGAGCCATTCCTTTTAGATCATCTTTTAATTCTTTCAATGTAATCGGGGCATTTAAGATAGCTTTCATATTCTTACTCAGCTAGTTGTTGATACAACTAAAGCAATATGTTGCTCCAAAGATAGCATTTTGTGATGATGGTATGACAATGTAAAGGATTGCATAGAAGTCGGAACACATACCTTCTAATCCGACTTAGTCATAATAAAGAGTCTCATTTCCATCCTCTAATGTGATGATAATTGATGCGCCTAAGTACTCCTTGATTATCTTAAAAAATTCTTTGGTATTCAAGTCACCTATGCTTTTTCATTTAACCTTGCTGCATACTTTTTTTTCTTTGATTTTTTTTTTGCTCTATCTATTGTAACTCATCTACTACCACACCTAATTTGCTTTGCAAGGCCAAATTACACAAGCTAGCATAAAATTTAGTAACAACTTGAAACAAATAGGTGTGCCAATGCATGTCTTCATTCAAAATTCCTTCACTCATTGTACACAACAATTGCGATAGAACTTGATAGTTATATATAACTTATGTAGAAAACCATAGTGGGGGTGAAAGAACCAAAGCTACTTAATATGGCTTCAAAATGCCACATCAAAGACATAAATAGTATTGATCTTAAATCACAACATCCGCCAAGATATTGCAATCAACTAAATTGTACAACTCATTAACAAGTATTTGTGTCACGAACATATAATTGAAAAAGATTGAAAAAGGTTCTAAGAGGTTCTAAAAGATTCTACGAAGGTCCTTATAGATCTTAGAAGATTCTATAAGATTCTAATAGGCTCTAAGCAGGTTCGAGAAGGTTCTTGTAGATTCTAAGAAAATTTTAAAAGGTCATAGGAGATCCTAGAAGGTTCTAAGAGGCTTTAGATGATTTAGGAAGTTGTCGATGAAGGATCTTAGGCTTGCTTTGTTTCCAAGCCTCATGTAAACTTCTCAAGAAGCTTCTTAGGACCTAATATATATAGAAGTGAAGGTTGAAGAGATCTTCAATCTCGACAACTCACTTCTTGTGATGTAGCCAAGATCTTCTTGCCTTGTTTTCAATTATTATTTTAATGTTGAATTAACTCCATTTCTTGGTCTTAAATCCTTGTCTTATACATGGTTCCTAACAATTTGTCGAGATTGCCATAAAATAATATTAGAAGCTTGACCTTTCTTGATAGAGAGTGGATTATTCCTCTTCTTGGAAGTATTATAGCATTTTAGAGGTTGTAGATTATCCTCTCCTAGACTAATATATATATATATATATATATATATATATATATATATATTTATATTTAGATCATAAATCATATATATATATATAAATATATATATTTTCTTTTGAATGTATGTATTTCTTTGATTTTCTATAGCAGAAGGT